CATTTTAAGTTATTTATGCGTCAAACTGTTTCAGAGGAGTGATCACAGCGCTCTATGTCATCAGCGATGTGTCTGTCTCACGGCCAGCTCCCAGGTTTGATTAAGACTTTGTAATAAATACATGAATAAAGCACAGTCATACTCAGTTTTGGGCCCGCTGTATTTTTAAATACGCAGTAGAGGTATTTAAAGGTATTAGAGGACATGTACCTGTATATAAAACCCGCGCCCTATAGTCCAGTGCGCCTTATCTGTGTGTTAAATACAGTAATGGCACACATAACTGAGACTGTACCTTTTAGTACGGTGCGCCTTATGGTCGTGAAAATACAGTAGTTACGGCCCTGTCACACCATACTGATTTAGACAGCCTTCGCCTGACGTCCCAGAATGTTCTAAAACGCTGGCATACGCTAAACTTTCTATGTATTTTTAACATTTTGGGGGATGTTGTGATGCATTATTGCTAGTTCAGCTGTCCTCAGGGGGACACGGCACATAGGATAATGGAGCCAGGCAGTCCAACATAATAGATTTCCCTGATCTGCCATTTCAGTTGTCAGACATTCTTCCAAACAGACCTGGTCTTTCTTCAAGGTTATATCCCAGAAGGTGAAGATTGGGGTAAATAAGTTTATTATAATGCTGTTTGAGCGCCCCTTAGATTAAAAATTAAAGTCCTTAGGAAATGTTTTCCCCTTCCTTAAGAGATTTTTTTTTTTTTTTTACTTTTGTTAGATTAAAGTAATTGTATTGTCGGATAATTGAAAGCTAAATGAACAGAACATCCCTTTTTTCAAATGATAGTTTCATATATCCACTGGAAGGATCTAGAAATTAGTAAACATGTCTTAAATAAGTGTATTTACCCTTAATTCGAGTAGGTAAATGAGTTTGCCAATGGAATGAGTATTTTTGCTCTTAAAATAAGACAATTAGACAGCATGCTCTTAAAATAAGACAATGCAATTATGTTTTCTTATTTGAAGGGTAAATTGTCTTGATCCATTGGCAAAATGTCTCTTTTACCTTCTCAATCCAAAGACAAATGCACTTATTTTAAGAAAAAAATGACTTATCTAGATATTTTTTTCAGTGTTGAAATCTAAAATCTGTTCGAACCATTCTGGGCGTTTAAGAAAAAGTAATGACATTTGATGTAAAACAACTGATCGACAAAAAATAAATAAAAAATCCTTGATACAAGCAGAAGAAAAAATAAATTTTCATTATACACGACTTCCTGGCAAATATTTTTTAAGTTCCATTTAGAGGAAACTCCAGAGAAGTAAAACGGTCTCTGACATCCATCAGTACGGAAAGGGTTAAAAGGTTTCCAGGCTTTTAGACTCCAGGAAACACAGTGAGAGGATGACAAACACATGGAGACAACAGTGAGCAGTGGTCAGCCTTCCCAGGAGTGGTTCATCATCGACTCATCCAGGAGCTCATTAAGGAGGCCGAGTTTCACTTAATCATCATAATTCAACAATATCAAAGAGAGAATGGATTTAAATCCATGGAGAAGTTCTGCTGTCAAGGACTAATCTGAAAACAGAGAAACTTCTGAAGGTTCTGGTCTTATTACAGCCGTATTAACAGTGTTTCTAACCAAACAAACAAACAAACATGAGTGTGCAGGGTTTGAATAACTTGTGTTAATTCGTGGGAGCGTCGCTTCTGCTCACTAGCAGGAAATCCAGAAGGCAAATGTGAGGACATAAGTTCATGACCCTAAACTTGAACATACCGGTTAGCTAGCAGAAGGGTAACTTTTACCTTAAAATTACCTTTCCTACATAGAAATCCTGCTAAAATAAAGCAATTCAGCAGAAAAAGCCTAATTGAAATGCATTCTTAAGTAATAATAACATTTGTTGCTGTTAATGTTGGTTAATCCACCTCTGAGGTTAGAGAGGTGATTGGTTAAAAAAAAGACCAAGATAAGTTTGGATATTCTTCCTTTAACATATGAAGTCACTATTCTTTATTATTTTCTGTTTGCTGTGCGACAAACTAACAGAACAAGAGGAAATGTCCATGAGAAATACACTTTTTCAACCCTGGAGATGAGTTCTTTAGATCTGCTTTCAGATTTGATGCATTTCATGAAAAAGGAAATGAGTTAAAAACATTTACCTGGTGAGAAAAGTCTATTTTTGATCTCTGGTTCATCTTAACCTCTTAACATCCACCTCATTTCGGGAAATTCTCGCCTACTTTGCATACCCAAATGGAAAAGGAAATAACTTAGGAACTGTAAACCCAAATTACATGTGCAATATATTATTTGAAAGCTAACACCCTCAAGTTTCTGAATATATAAAATTGGGTGAGCAGAACACAGACCAAGCTGCATCAGTTCAAACATGACTCAAAAAACAGCAGTAATAAAGACATGCTTGAGAAAAGGCAGGTCTCATCGTACTGTATTACATTCGTTCTACATGATGTCAACCATTAATTTTTGAGAGGTTAATTTTGATGGTAATTTTCAAATACTTTTAATTCTATCTTTGGAGCACATTTCCACAAGCGTCTTCAAATCCTGCGTACACCTGTCTAACCACTAGCAGAACGGCCCTGAAAGCAACAGTGAAAAAATGAAAAACCAGGAGGTCATTGCACTGGATGACGGCAGATCAAAAACTCTGCTTAACGTCTGTCTGATGCACGTCTATCCAAGCCACCTGAAGGTCTCCGAGTGGGACATTTGAAAAAGAAAAAGATCTATGGGGCACGGTAGAGTTAAAACATTCTGATTAAACATTTAAGATTTGATTTTTTCCTAAAAACAGAAAAAAATGTATAAACTTACAAACTGTAAACATGCTGTTACCTGGTCTCTCTTGCCCACTACTGAGAACCACATGTTGCTGCTTTTTGCTAAGCTTTATCCAAACCAGTTCACGCTGCCAAGTCCAGACTGGTGGAGGGACGCAAACTGTGAACACCTGCTTTTATCCCAGCAAGCTCCTCAACCTGATAACATGAGCCGACAAGTCCAACACCTCCCAATTACTCCGGCTAGCGGTAATCCATTCGGCTCTGTGTTTAAATTCAATGTTTACACACGCAGACGTGAGACGAGGAAGAACTCCGAATTCCCAAACTTGGCACCAAAAAAAGCCCTCAAAGGATTTTAATGCAGTTGATATTAAAAAAGTAAAGCTGGGAAAAAGGAAAATCCAATGAAAATAAGTAGGATTAATTATAAAAAAGCCGTGGAAAGTCCCATAAATGTCTCCAAAAATGTGAGGTAAATTCCACAAATGTTCCTGAGAGCAGCTACATTCCTCCACATGTTCCTAATTGCAGAGTGTTTGTCAAATGGTGAGTTCAGGCGGCGATCCAAGAGGTGAAGCGTCTGCTGTGGCGGCTGCTGGTCAGACTGAGGTGGAGCGCTGCTGCAGCTGCACCAGCCAAACACACACACACACACAGCGTTATATAATAGGACAGAGATCAGCCTAGTTTACCGTCAGCTCCAGCAGCTGCATGATCAAATGTGCTCCACCTGCTTTCCCCCCCCATCTCACACTCGTGTTGCTTCGCCTCCTCCTCAGACGTCCACACACGGCTCTGAAAATAAACGGAGCGAGGAGGTTTCCTCCGTACGTCCTTCCTCCCCACACACAGACTCAACATGTGCAAACAGCCGCACAGGAAAGCTCTCAACCGGCAGGAAACTCACTCTCCTCAAAAAAGACAAAGTCTCCTAATGTTTCTCATCAAGAACTTGCTCAAACTCCAAGCCTCATCAACATTCAATGAGTACAATTCTACTTAAATAACAGATTTATTTCAATCTGGACTGAAATGTTGGATTCTGCTGTTATTTTTTTAAATAAAACAAAAGTAAAAGTGTGGTTCTGGGACAAATTAGGTCTACCTCAAGAGTTTAACCGATTCCAATTTGTAGGACACTACAAAAAGAAATAAATGCTTCGTTTATATCAATATACATGTAATGATCCTTTGTTTCTTAAACATTCAAATTAGTCAACTCTGAGCACGCCCGCCTAACTAGAAGGTGAATATAAAACCATAAATGGGTGCAGTGATTATGGCCGAATCAAAATGAAAGGAAGGCGCTGCCATGCATCATATTTAAGTGGAGTTTAAATTCAGGAGGCCTGTGATGCAAGTGAAATGAATTATATCTTCTGTAACAAAGATGAAAAAGACGTTTTCCTTTGATTATATGAATGCAAGTCATCTTTTAAACAACGCTTTGTCTCATTTACCCCGAGTTGCCACTTAATCCTAAAACCTTTTCCCTTTAAAGTTGACCTTGAAACCTCCCAAAAAAAACTAATTTTAATCTAAAGAGAATGTTCATTGGATCCAAAGTTAAGTTTTGATTTTAGATTTTTTTGCACATTTTATGCAGAACTCTTAAACATTAGGGGGGAAAAAAGGAAATGTGAATTCATGGGGTTTTTAAATTTGGTTTGAAGCAAACTAAACATTGGTGCACTAATCCTCCAGATAATAATCATAGATTTAGGGGGGAAAACTCCCTTAATAATCAGATTTAACCACTTATAAATGGTTGAGGCAATTTATATAAAGATAAAATGTCAGAAATAACTGTTGAGCCCATATGGTGGTCCAGGTATTGAACCTAAAAGCCTCCTATAAGCTGTCAAAACAAACCCACAAACTGCCCCTGATTGCAGCCAGGTTAACCATCCCCGAACGCCAGCAGCAAACTGAACAGAGCAGGTTTTTGTCCAGACGTTTCTGTGCAACGTCAGTGTTTAGTTTACGCTTTGCTGTCAGACTCAACAGTGAAAGCAGAGCAGCCTGTTCTGTCAGCGCTGTGCCTCTCAATCTGACACAAAACACTCAGTCCAGCACGCTTCGTGTGCTCGCAGCTGGAGGAAAACAAAGAATTTGTTCTTTCCAATAATCAGGGTCATCGTTTTTAGACACCAGACTCTGACTAACACAGTCAAACTGAACCACAAACACACACTCAAGGTAGCGGTTCCTACCTTGGCAGCTACGATGCTGAGGCCCATGCCGTTGTGCTTCTTCAGGGTTACCGTGACAACCTCCGGCTCCTTCCTCATTTCCTGAAAAGAGAGAGAGAGATTCAGGAATAAAAAAGGAAAAGAGGGAGATACCTCCTAAATTAAGGTTAAAAAGGCCACAAAAAGGGAGCAAGCGTCCAAATGCCTCCGTAAAATGTTGGAAACTGAGACACCGGAGTCAAAAAAAGGAGGGAGGGATAAGGGAACGGGAGGGTAGGAATGAAGGAAGGAAGGAAGGATGAAAGGGAAGACCACAGAGGGACCTGTGGTCTCTGGAATCGAGTCAAGAATGAAAACCACATCATGGCAACGAAGAAAGCCATACACACACTTCTATACACAGCAGGGCTCATTTAAGGAGGGCTGGGCCACTGGGTGGGGAGACAACAGATCTGCAGAGGTTCCCACGTCATGACCGAGACATTCTGGATAACATTCTGGAGACATTAAGGATAGCCAACAGAGTCCTGTCACACTACTAACATACAGACAAATACAACATCTGAACTAGCAGCTAATTTAGAGACCTTAAGCTGCGACAACGTCCAGAAAACATTTTTCATTTAAGTGTTGAGTGGTATTTTCTACCAATCAAATCCAGACATGACACATCTAAGCACAGAGTCAAATTTCCAATGTTTCTAAGCAGCTAAACGCCAGACGCCAACATTTTCCCAGAAGTCTCAGTCAGCTCCAGAACTGATGCCAACTGGATCAATCCATACAGAAACGGATAGCTGATTGACAGCACAGACAGACGGATACATGACGAGAAAAAGAGGGACAGAAGATGGACAATGGTTGGAAAAATAGGACTGTCATGAGCAGGGGTGGAAAGTAACAAATTACATTTACTCACGTTACTGTAATTGAGTACTTTTTATGAGTAATTTGTAATTTTCTGAGTAGTTTTTGAAATATGTAATTTTTACTTTTACTTGAGTAAATTTTAACCCAAGTAGTTTTGCTTCACTACTTTTAAAACCCCCTCACGTTACTGAGTAAAAAAAAAAAATAAAATAAAATACTGGTGGTGAAAAAATTAAATGTGGCCGGAAATTTAAACCCCTGTTTCACGGAACCGACACTTAACCGGAACCGACTGAGTGATCTCGATGAAAATTGTTTTAATTTTTTTTTCTGATTAACGCTAAATTCATTAAATCGTATTTGGTTTTAGGCATAAATAATGATCCATTGATCATTCCTCGCTGATCGGACTTTTCCTTTAATGGCAAGGCAAGGCACATTTATTTGTATAGCACGATTCGGTATAAAGACAATGCAAAGTGCTTTACATGATTAAAATACAGGATGATAAAACAGAATCAAAGCAAGTAGGAAAAAATAGAAAATAAATAAAATTAAAAATGCAGAAACAAAAAAGAATATTAAAAACAGTTGGATTAAAGAAAATATGTTTCAGTTGAACTGTTTAACTAGAACAGTCGAAGGCAATCCTAAACAAATGTGTTTTTAGTCTTGATTTAAAGAAACTCACTTTTACAGTTTTCTGGAAGTTTGTTCCAGATAAGTGGAGCATAGGAACTAGATGCTGCTTCTCCATGTTTAGTTCTGGTTCTAGGTTCTTCTTTAACATGTGACTCCTTCAGCCTTCATGAGGCAGCTTCACTGTTCAGCTCCTACATATTGCTTTTAAAAATGCCATTTTGTTCCTATTTAACTTTATTTCATATACCCAACTATATGTGTTTGTTTCTGTCTGCCTGAACTCGCCGTAGATCAGCGACGCCGGCATTATGTTGAGACTACAGTCATGAATAAGTAGAGCAGGGGTAAACAGAGCGATTACACAGGAAGTGGCTGTATGTGTGTGCAGCCTATCATTTACTGCTGCATGCTCACTAACCAACTCCTCCACTCTGACGGGTGTTGATTAAACTGTGTGCACTCACGCCGTTTTGGAGCGAGTTTTCTCAGGAGTAAATAGCCGTTTCTGGAGTCGCTGTAATTGGTGCCGTTCGACTGGCGGACCACACAAAAACCTCTGGACCCAAATCAAAGCAACCTCCAGGTTTACAAGGCGCTAAAAATAGTCAAACTATGTCAGTCGTGTAGTCTGCCTGTCTGCTCCTTTGTCTTTCCTCAGTTTTACCTTTTTTAGCAAGAAAAACTACATCTTCCATTAGATCCCAGGAAAAAATAATTTTTTTCAGCGGAGCAGCAAATGAACAGCTTCTAAATGAAACCCCAATTTTTAGGTTTGCTGTATTACCACCCCATTAATACTCATGTTAATGCGTTTTGTGGTGAACCAACAAAGATGTGAAGCAAAAGAAAAAATAAATTTGATCTTCAAAATACTTTATTAATGAAACCTGTGGTCAGTATCTGTATTAATCTGATAAAACAAACTACTTTATTCTCAGCAAACAAAAACGCCATAAAGGAGCTGATTACAAAGAGGTTAGCTTAAATTTCAAAGTTTTAGGTTTAAAAACATCTTCCAAGGCTTTGATTATCTAGACCCCCATAAAACTACAGCACAACTCAGATACCCAGCAAAGAGTTTGTACAAAATATGATTTTATTTCTTTATCTGCTATAAAAAAAATGTAAAAATTGCTATAATTTCTTTGCATTTGTTAAAACGGAAGAAGAATCTTTAATCTGACAGAGTGGCAGAGATCTACAGCTGAGGAGGGGGAACCTTAAGCCATCGTCAAAAGAAGGCCATAAGTTGTCATGTAGGCGACAGTATTAATACACAGAGGATGATACTCCGGTAAAACTTTTAGTAACCTTTTAGTAAAACTATGTGCTACATCTCATCACATCAACCACGAAGTGAAAAATGGTGATAAAATAGAAAAGGTCTGTAGATTTTTAAGGCTGCTAAAAGAAACCCAAAGAGCCTCGTCAGATTCTCTTTTTTTAAATATTAAATAATCACTAGTCATTTTATCTCTACTTTGCACAGTTTCTGGTTATATATGGCAGCTAAATACATGAACTTCTCCAGATCAATAATGCCTCTGCACTGAACTGCAAATAAAGACCATTTTATTATTATGAAGTCCTCCTGATTAATGAATCTTCATGCTTTTAGTATCTCAGGAGGATTATATTGTTTTCCTACTTATTTTCTATCTATTCTAATTTTAGAAGAAGAAAAAAATATGATGAAACATCTTTTTGGGGAAAAAACTAAGTTAAAGCTAAAAAGCTAAATATAGAAACAAGCAAGTGAATAAGAAACTCAAGCAAAGACCTTTAACTCCTGAACTCTGTAATAGAGAGTTCCAATTATTTAATGACAAAGAGCAGGGCTGGGTATTTTCGCCAAAGTCCTGAATCGATTCGATTTTGATTCATACAGTTCTAAATCGATTGATTTCGATTCGATCTGTTTTTACAATAATGAAAGCGGTTCAACTGTGTTTCAAAATACTCATGTATTTTATCTTTTCCTGTCACATTAAACAGAAAGCGCGAACCTGTAAATCAGACAGTTTAAACATGAGAAGTAAATAAAACTGTCTCATAAGTGCAAACTTGTTTGTGAAAAGTGAAAAAGTGAAGCCTCACTCGAGCGAGCAGACGTGACACAGCAGACATGCATGAGCTGCATTAACTTCACTACACAAACCATATTTGCAGCGCCGTCTGTAACAACTACAGGGTGTTTTCTGGTCAGCCCCCATTTGTTAATGTCTTCAGTCAACCTATTGGCTATGGTTGCAGCTGTCTGGCTTGAAGTCATCTTGAGTGCATCTTTCCTGCATATTTGAATGTGAACGTCATGCGGGTCAATATAAAATGAATCGATCTCATTCCCTAGACATCGATTTTTCAAAAATGTAAAGAAATCGATTCAAAATCGATTAAATAGATTTTTTTACCCGGCCCTAAAAAAGAGGGTTAAAAAGTTCTCAGTTACGGCAGATATCTCAGACAGAGTTCTTCATTCTGCTGTTTCCAGAGTTTGTGTTTTGTTTTTTGTTGTTGCTCAGCCTCCAATGTTTGGCTGAGTCAGAGTTACAGGTCTCTAAAGCCGGGCATCCGCTGTGCGTTAGTTTCAATCGTTGCACGCAGCTACAGCTCAAACTGTACGACGAAACCACAGGGTTTGAAAGTCCACAGCTCTCCATGCATGTTCTCACACTGTGCGGCCTGACGCTCGGATGCGACCTTATGAGGGTCAACATGTTTGATGTTTGGTTGTGAGAGGCTGATCGCCCCTCGTTAACCCCTGAAAGTCGCATCGTTCAAAAAGTTCTCGCACAACTGAAGAATCGGCCCGAAAAGGGCAAAAAAAAAATCATACAGTGTATGCCCGGCTTAAGTGTTCTGTGTGACACCAGCTGATTCCAGGACCTACCTGCTTTTAAAAGCAACATTTAACGATTGTCCTCTAAGAGACGGAGGGTTTATTCTTGTTTTGGCTCTTTTATCTTATATCTTTTTACCATTTTTTTAAGAATAAAGACAAACATGTCAAATAAAAAGATAAAAACCCATTTTGGACCGTACCATTTCGCTGTTGTCAGGGGCAGAGAAGTGGTTGTCATTGTCGGCTCCTTCGAAGTGGACGGTCCAGGTACCAGGAGAGCGAGGATGCGGCGTCAGCCTACAGAACCCTGCAACGCACACCGTCACCTTATGTTTTACTTCCAATACCAGAGATGCTGAAATCAATAAATCTCTTTTGCATTAAATATTTTCTTAATAGAAATAAATTAGGTTTGGTGTACCTCTCTGCAGCAGCGGGTCCAGGAAGTCCTGCAGGCCGTTGGGGAGGTGGCGCACCACGTCACAGGAGTAGCCGTCCTCTGGGAGGAGGAAGGGCAGCTGAAGGTCCGGATCCTCCTCCAGCTGCACTTCTCTGCCATCACTCCTCGCCAGCTCATCTGCTGTGTTTTCTGCTACTGCCACCACATGGTCTATGAGATCCTAACACAGAGAAAGCACAGCATGGAGATGCTGACTGGTTGGCGGTCCTGCAGTCATTTTGTTCTACATGACAGTGGTGCTCAGGGTACGTTTGTCTTACAGGCGGGATGTACGGCTCATCCTGGGCACAGCGGTAGTTGGTCATGAGGGCGTGGAGCTGCAGGGAGTTTAGCTTGAAGCAGGTGTTGTGGATGATCTGCACATCTTGCGGGGAGTATTTATCCATGGTGAGAAGGGTGGTGGCCTGTAGGGGACAAAATTAAAAACACATTAAAATGGGGCAGATATGGTGATGAATCAAAGGTTTTCTTAAACATTTTCAAATGTTCAACACATTTTGATATTTTTTCCTTTCTATTAAAATCACATCACAAAATATTTTTTCCACATTGGTTCAAATGGGAGAGGACAGACAAACATATATTGATGGACTGTATAGCAGAGAAAAACAGACAATGATCAACAATAACTAGATGTGGGGCTGATGAAAGGATTGATAACTGACGTAACTAGGGTTGTCAAAAGAATTGATATTCAAAAAAGTATCGATACGGAAACGTATCAGGATACAATACTTGTTTTTAAAAGTATCGATACAGTGCCACCACCAGTGGCACCTAAACAGTCATTCATCTAAAGTGCAGAATAGAGGAAAATGCACTTTCAGAACACTGTGTGATAGAATAATTCTGTGCATTTTTCAGTTTCAGACTTTTTTCTGTAACAGGTGCAGCTGCTGAGAATTAGTTTTGCTTCTTAACCGGTTTGGCTAGACTCATTGTTATGTGTGCAAAGCAAAGGAAGGAACACTTAATTTGAATTTTGTTAGATTTTTATCAAGCTTGCTTAATATTGTGCACAGCATACAACCTCAAAATATTGTTCTTATTGGTTTTTATTTATTGTATGTTTTTATTAATGAAAATATTTCTGTTGAATTTTACAGTTTTTATTTTTATCCTTGCGGTATCGAAAATGGTATCGAGTATCGAATATTTTACTTAGTATCAGTATCGAGTTGAAAAGTTTAGTGTCGTGACAACCCTAGACGTAACTAAATAATCAGTGTATAAATCACATTGATTGGAGCTTCTGCACTGGAAAAACAATCTAGAAATAGGTAAAAATGTCTTAAATTAAGTGTATTTAGCCTTAACTTGAGTAGGTAAATGAGATAGTTTGTCAATGGATTAGTAAATTTACTCTTAAAATAAGATAATTAGATAATACGCAGTTGAAATAAGACGATGCAATTGTGTTCTCTGTTTTTAAATGTAAATTCAATTGGCAAAATGTCTCTTACCTCCTCCATCCAAGAACAAATGCACTTATTTTAGGAAAAAATGACTTATCTAGATTTCTATTTTTTTCCCAGTGTGAAAGGCTACCGTATTTTCGCGACTATAAGGCACATATAAACGTCTTTTTTTCCCTCAAAATGTGCGGCGTGCCCTATTGAGCGGTGCGCACTATGTGTGTTCTTACTGCGGACGTTGTTGAGACCGCCATGAGAACATTAAAGGGGGAAGTGTGGGCGTGGATTGGCTGCCACGCAAATGGACAGAAACTGCCGCCTATGGTGATTTTTAAGAGAAAGACTTTGCCTAGAGAGACTTTTCCAGCTGGAGTCGTTATTAAGGCAAATGAAAAGGGCTGGATGGATGAGGAGATGATGAAAGCGTAGCTGAGGGAGGTGTATGTAAGGAGCGGCGTGGGAGCGACGGATGACCGACGGAGACCACAGTTTGTCGAAAAGTGGAAGGCAGCGCCGGGCAAGTTATGCCACAGTTTGCGGATGGACTATAGATGCTTGGACTAATGTGTCTGCTGGCTCTGTTGTTCGAGCGTTCGCAAAAGCCGGCATCATTTCCGAGGAGCCGCACGGCACGGAAAGTGACTCTGACAGCGAAGAAGGGGAAACTGGCATGTCTGATTTAGTGCAGCTGTTTAATTCAGAAACAGAGGATGATGACTTTGATGGGTTTGATTAATACTTTGTAATAAATTAGGGTTGTCAAAAGTATCGAAACTCAAGTATCAATACTGAAATGTTGTATCCAGATACAATACTCGTTTTTAAAAGTATCGATATAGTGCCGTCACCAGTGGCACCTAAGCAGCCATTCGTCTAAAGTGCAGAAAAGAGGACAATGCACTTTCAGAACACTGTGTGATTGAATAATTCTGTGCTCTTTTCGGTTTCAGACTTTTTTTTTGTAAGAGGTGCAGCTGCTAAGACTTATTTTTGTTTCTTAACTGGTTTGGCTAGTGTCATTGTTATGTGTGCAAAGCATAGCCAAGGAAGGAACACTTAATTTGAATTTTATAAGTTTTTTATCAAGCTTGCATAATATTATGCACAGCATACAACCTTTATTGTGTTTATTTATTGTATTTTATTTATTAATGAAAATATTTCTGTTGAATTTTGGAGTCTTTGTTTTTATCCTTGTGGTATCGAAAATGGTATCGAGTATTGAATATTTTCCTTAGTATCGGTATCGAGTTGAAAAGTTTAGTATCGTGACAACCCTATAATAAATACATGAATAAATCACAAACATACTCAGTTTTGCTCCCGCTCTATTTTTAAATACGCAGTAGAGGTATTTAAACGTAGTAGAGGACATGTACCTGTATATAAAACCCGCGCCCTATAGTCCGGTGCGCCTTATGTGTGTGTTAAATACAGTAATGGCACACATAACTGAGACTGCGCCTTTTAGTACGGTGCGCCTTGTGGTCATGAAAATATGGTAATATCCTTCACAAAAACAAAACAACAAGGTAAACATTCTGCCGCTGTGAAAAAACATTGGACTTTTCCAGGCTGTGTGGAAATCTGGTAAACAGTCTTTTAAGGAAAGTTTTTCTCTTATAGTCATGGTTTCAAGCATTACATATTTCAAACTTCACACTTTTCCAGACAGTTTGGACATTTTATTCATTTTTTCTGCCCATATCCTCTGTAAAGAAAACATAATAATTTTTTTGTGAGTATCCAGTCATGAATATAAATCCTAGAGAGAGGCCAAATGAGTCTGATAATAAAAAATAAAAAAAAGCAAAGCGTCTGTTTTTACCTGGACAATCCGGCTGAGGTGGCAGTCAGCAGCCAGCTCCAGCCCCTGCTTCTCGGCCCACGCCTCGATGTGGCTCAGCTGCTGCCGCAGGATGGCCCCCCAGTAGTGGCAGCACAGCCCAGAGTCGGCGTCGGTCACCAGTCTGTTGAACAGCCACATGTTGATGAAGTGGAAGAGCTGCGAGAAGAGCTGGATGGTGAGGGCGGCGTTGACCCGGCAGCGCCGGAGCAACGACATGGCGCCGGTCAGCGTGTGCAGAACGTCCTCTGAGAAAACAAAAAAAAGCAAGAGTTTGAGGGGAAACTCTGGACTACTTTATATGACTGAGATCAGGGGTTTGATTATATTGTTCCAACTGTTGTAAATCATTGCCTTTAGCTAACATTTAATTTGCTGCACATTTGGTGATTTAAAAAAATACTTTGATCCCAGCTAATTTAATCAGACTATCAGAGTGAAACAAGACATAATCACAGAAAGATGATTTAGCTCAACTTTCATTTGGACTTTGCACTAAACTGCATTTCATCGGTTTATTTCTCATACTGTAGCAACCTGGACTCAAGGCAAACTACAAAGCTGTGAAGTTAATGAAAATAAAACTTCGGTCAGTTTGAATAATTTTGTCTAAAAGCTCGAGTATTTTCAGGTTCTTCTCTCACATCTGATCACTGGATAAAAGGATGAAACATTGAGGCGAATGCTGAGACCAAGAGTCTGGGAAACGAGCCATAGATGGTAGAAGTGAGTGTGTCTCTCAGAAGGAATTATTGACTATGAGGGAAATTCAGAGCGTCACTCTACGTTTAAAAGCTATTTGAAATCAGTGTTTCTCTCTAAATTTACCGATCTTGGGCCTCTGTGGATTATGCTCCTCAGGGTCATCCAGGAAGGCTGGCATGTAGTTATTGAGATCAGCCTGCAGACAGTGGACCAGGTACCTGCCAGAGACGTCACAGATCATTAACAAGATAATCTGAAAACAGTCGTACAGTGAAAAAAGGATGGAAACTCAGCTTAACACAGCTATAAATCCCAAAGATTAGTGACATTAAGGGACTTGGCTTAAATTAGGGGTAATTTAAGAAATCATTTGGACTTAACACATTAAAAAAAGTTGAAGTTAATTTTGGTTGAAAAACCTAAATAGCTGCATTAAAAACATAAAATGTGTTTTACTGCTCATAATATTTATTTAATAATTGAAGAGAACAATATGGAAGAGGATTACGGCCACTGAAAAAAAAAAAAGTTAACTGATTTTTAAATTCTATTTCAGTTTAAAATGGGAAAAAAGTCAGAATTCTGACTTTTTTCTCAGAATTCTGACAGCTAACAATCATGTTAGCATCAAGCCATAGCCATGTCTGTTTTAGAGACTAGCTCTCTTGTTTTAATGACCTTCTGCTCCTCCATTAATGAGGGGACCCCTCGGGCATGTAAAAAGTTGCCTAATTCCGTCATTTTCCACCAATGTGTCACTGGCCACAAACAACTCACATCTTTGTCAGTGAAGCCGAGTGCTCCCACATCTCTTCCTTCATGGTGCCCATCTACATTAAGATCCAAAATTCTGAGAAAAAAAGTCAGAATTCTGAGATTAAAGTCAGAATTCTGAGAAAAAAGAATTCTGAGATTAAAGTCAGAATTCTGAGATTAGGGTCAGAATTTTGAGAAAAAAGTCTGAATTCTGAGATTAAAGTCTGAATTCTGAGATTAGGGTCAGAATTTTGAGAAAAAAGTCTGAATTCTGAGATTAACGTATAAATTCTGAGATTAAAGTCAGAATTCTGAGAAAAAAGAATTCTGAGAAAAAAAGTCAGAATTCTGAGATTAGGGTCAGAATTTTGAGAAAAAAGTCTGAATTCTGAGATTAAAGTCAGAATTCTGAGATTAAAGTCAGAATTCTGACTTTTTTCCCCATACTAAACTGAAATAAAATGTAAAAATCAGTTAACTTTTTTTTTTCAGTGGCCGTAATCCTCTTCCGTAGAACAAGGCTTTTGTGATTTGTCGATTTTTGATTAAAATGTGATTAATAGCAGTTAATTGATTACAGATCCTGTAACTAACTTAATTTTTTTTTTTTATCATGAACCAAAAATAGTTCAAATGTATTAAATTAAGGATTTTAGAAAATCTAAAACAAAGAATAGCAGAAGACAGAAAACTGACTTGAAGGCCATCTGAACCAGGTGTGCCAGGATGTCCTGAGCATCCAGCGTTATGCGGCTCAGGTCGCGGTCCTGCTTGATGAAGTTCAGCAGCTCGGAGGCGTTGGCCATCCAGAAAGCCAGCGCTCCTGCAATGTTCTTCTGTTTCTGTAACACACCAATCACAGCCACAACACGGAGACAAAAAGAGAACAAGAGAGGAAGCCGTTAGAGCAGCAAGACGCAGGAGAGGCTGAAGATGTTAAAGAGAAGGTGAGAAACACAGAGAGGCAGCCAAAAGGGAGCAGCTGTTATGTCAGAGATAGAGTCATGCCTCAAACGCCTCTGCCTTAAAGCAAAGCCTGTGTCCAGAAGAAGATTGGTCAAACCAAGAAAAGGTCTCTTCATTCATCTGTTTTACAGCAAAAATTAACAGTTTTTTTTTTATTAAAAGTGACCTCTCCTTTTCCGTCCAACACACATCTCCAGTTAGCACGTCACCAGACACACAGCAGATTCATAAAACATGTTCACACTGCAAGCAAAAGCGTCCAAATGTGGAGAATCTGAACAATGGAAGGGATCAGCATTTATGGAGAGAGAGCTTTGCCTTTTAAGCACCCTAACTATTCAACTGAAATTCCCTATTAAGAGACGATTAATGGCAACATTTCATTACACAGCACTTTATATCCTCTAAATCATAGCAAAGAAAGTACATTTAAAATATTTTAATAATTTAGGATAGCTCTATAAAATTAATTTTATACATTTTATAATACTCCTTTGATGATATAAGAAAAAAACTTTGGTGTCCTTTATTTTTTTCATTTCACATGAAAATTAAAAGCCTTCTTACCTCTAATTTTCAGAGATCTAAATAAAATCAGCTTTATTGACTCAGTTTTTTGGAAAAAAAAAACCTTTACTATACATGTGGAAAAGACACAGCATATCCAAACTGGCTGAAAATAAATTTGGTTGCTTGCAGAGAGAACAAATATTATTAATTTATGGATGACTGAGTATCTGAAGAGCTGATTGGCTGTCCCCCACTTCCTACACAGAAAGGAAGAGGACTGCAAAGCTCTTCTCCCTGCACTCATCTATCCCCGCCTTGGAAACCAATCATAAAAGTTAAAAAAGAAAAACCTTCAGAACAGCCAGAGAATGAAAGCTTGAACCAAGTGCATCCAAAAATAAAAACAGGTTTGAAACACGGATGGATGTTGGAACATTTTTAATGAGTTTCCAAACAGACAATAGAAGCAGATGAGGTGGAGAAGGTCATAAGGGTGTGACTGTTTTTCCTCATCCACACTGCTGAGGAGAAGTAAGATGTCGCACAAACAACAGAGAGACCGATGCCAGAGTTAAAGATGGAGCAACGAGGACAAAGAGTGGTTGCTTTCTGGGATTATTTGGGTTTTAGTACCAGGTAGGTTCCAGGAAGCTAAATGAGATTAGTTAGGCTGATGTTGCTGTTGTTGCTTAGTTTTCCAGCTGTGGACAGGATGTTTAGTTATGGCTGTGTTTTGGACATTCTGTTAGATTGAGGAGAGAAAAAAGGAGCAGCAGCAACAATGATGGGCTGATAAAAAAATAAAAAACAAAGCACAGAGAAAGATAAGAGTAAAGGAAGCAGAAGATTCAAAAGGTTGAGCGATGTGACTTTATAGTAAAAATCATCTGATTTTGATTTGGATTTTGACTCTGTTACAAAACTTAAAAAAAAAAAAGGAAAAGATCCTTAAACTCATAAATTTGTGCTAATTTTTGATTTTGTAGAAAAAGACATTGTTAAAATATGTTTGTCATCTATACAACTAGTTTGCATTTAAGTAATGTAAATAAACAAAAACCCTTCCTGCCCCCTATGCCTCCTTTCTAATTAGACTAACATCCTAGAAATCGGCTGCAGCATATCTGGGGTCCGGATGCAGCAGAAGCTTCATAGCAGTAGCAGTTCATTAATAATGTGTGCACCTGAACACATCTGCATGGATGGGGTGTGACAGAATGTGAAGCTAGATCAGCCGTACTGCCCTCCTGTCGAGGATACGCCCTAATCACTCCCCCATATCAGGCTGGTAGATCTAAAAACAAACTAATGCAGTACAACTAGAGGGCGTAGCTGCTGAGCATTTTTTATTATATCTGTGACCTCGCTGCGACTATTACGGTCTCGACAAATACCACTACATACCATGCCGTCATCATCCCTCATAAATTAACAATATTCAACAGATGGGCTGGAAAAATAAAGTTTCATATGTATTGGAAAGAGCACACGCCTCCAAATTGTGCATGGGTTGTTTAAATCCTGAAATTCTTATGTTTTAAAAACAGCAGTCCAGGTTAAATGTAACCGTCACACCATCTATAGTCATGGTTCCCAGAATGGTGTGTGTGCTCCATGGCGGGTGGGTGGGGTTGGGGGTGCAGGGTGGTGTGGGTTAAAAGAAAATTATGTGTTGGATTAATTGTACATAAGTTATTCTACTTTAATCATATTATACCCATTTGTTATCTCTATCTTACTTATATTACAAAGAGTGTTGAAAGCTGTTGAACTTTACTTGTTGTAAGCCTGTGCAGGAGGTTGCTGGGGTCAAAGCTGGGTTAATGTTGTGAAACTCGGAGAGCTGCGCAGAGTTGCACACACCGCAGAGTTGCACACACCACATGTGGAAATAAACTTTCCTTATCTTATGATGTTGTATGATGTTGTACGAAAATTCTGGTTTCAACTGGGTTCTGTGATCCCCTCCCCTTAGCGGTTGAGACCACATTGTAACCAGGGCATTCCAAATAAAAGCTTGGAAGACAGAGACTGCTTCAGAGTGGGTTGGAGGTTGTAGCTGAATGCAGTCTCTGATCCCCTCTCCTTGCAAGTGAATTATACTCAAATTCTCTGTGTCTTTCTTTGTGCAGGTTGCTGAATAAGGTGTTTGGTGTTTAAACCTAGCATTATGTTGAATTCTGTCACATTAGGGATGGAACGGTTTATGAAAAACCGTCCGAACCGTTCGGTTCAACTGTCTCGGTTTGGTTCACGTGTGTTGCGTTCGGTTCATGCGCTGCTCCTTTTTCTCATAGGCGAAGCGTTTACACTCCAGAGCAGAAGGTGGCGGTACTGCGACCAAAGCCAACCACCAGTAGTAAACAAGAAGAAGAAGCGAAGCAGCGTAGCCGGGTGTAGCAGAAAAAAAATCTGTTGTTGTGGAGAATTGTGTGGGTTTGGCGAGTGGCCATAGCAGCACTTTATAGGTCTGCTGTATGGGACCGCTTTGCATTTAGAGTGACCTACGATGACGGCGGAAAGAAAGTTGTGGATAAAAGTGCAACAGTGTGCAAGCATTGTGCAACACCCCTTTTGCACTAAATGATGTCATTTTTTATATGGACCATCTTCCCAAGCCTGTTTCTTATACTATTAATGTCCTCCTGCTGTTGGGTAAATATCATATCCACTGTGCTAAATGGAGAAATTCTAAACCTTCCTTTTTATTGGTTTATGAATGACTTTAAAATCTATTTTTCTTCTCTTAAGATAAAAAATGACAAATATGCCAATAAATTGAGACTTGATTTCTCCAAACATCTGCTATTTTAACTGAATCCACCTTTTTGTTTTTATTATTTCTATGGCTCTGTCTATTTTAAATGTTTGCCGAGATAAATCCCCTGTTAGTTGTTTTTCTTTTATTGTAATTGATCTTTATCTGTTCATGTTCACCTTTGCTATTTATTTTTTATTTATATTTTTTCATGTAAATGTTTGACTTTATAAAAAATTAAAAAAAGCCTTGTGCAACACGCGTTGTACTATACAAGACATAATAGATTTTCCTAACAATCAACATATACCGAACCAAATCGAAAATCGTGACCACGACACCGTGAACTGAACCATGGATTTTGTGAACCGTTCCACCCCTATATTACATAGTAAAGTAAACATGTCTGCGTAAAATAAACATTTAAGATTTTAAGTGGATTGTGGTTTAATTCATTGCGCTATGGTTTACTGCGAGGGGGCATAAAAACTTTCTTTCAAATCAAAGGGGTGCCCAACAAGTAGAGTTTGGGATCCAATGGGCTAAATGATCATGTGGTAACATTTGGTAATGAGGATGGAGGAGGGCATGGAGGAAATCTAAGCTCGGATACTGGTTCATGAATTTTCCAACACTGTTTTTATAATCCACCTCACACATAGGGGAGGCCGACAAAAACCACACAGCGATAGAAAAACCCATCAGGGAACCAGAGCACAGCAGCGCCACAAATACATGCAGAGAGGAGCTCATTGTTTCAGGATTTAAATATGGATGCATGATAGTGTTCTTAAGCCGGTGTGTAAAGGGCCTCAATTATACTGCTGTCAATTTGGCAAACACTGGCTCAGTATCTAAACCACACTTAGTCCCCCAGTGATTAAAGGCTCATTATACGGTTGATCAGAAATGTTGGCATCGTCTTTGAAAGCGGTGGATTTTGTGGCGTTTGAGAAGCAAACATTTCTCCCCTTTCTCATCACAATTATCCTGTAATAAGACGGTAATAATAAAGGAAATTACCTCTGTTTTAAAGCTGCTGGAGTAAATTTTAAGCCATTAAACTGATATTAGATTTACAACAACAAAGTAGATCAAATCTAACTTGATACCTTTCAACCTCTTTATGATGCCTTCTTTACTTCTGAGGTTACGGTGGGAAATAACCAGGTTGTTTAGCTCCTGATTTATCAGTGCCTTTCATCCCTCTGATAATTTTGGCAATCACTGCCTTCTTAGATGTGGTAGCTGGGGTCGAAAGATGATGTGAATTGCCCTGAATCGTCTTTGGGAGGAGATTCAGCTCTGTAAACACTCCCAGGAGCTAAACAACCTGGCTACTGCCCACTAAGATCTCTAAAGACCTCTGTAGGAGGATAAGATGGATTTTCCTAAAGTATCTTTTGAATTATTTTCTCAGTGGCAATGTCACATTTCAAGCATCTAATCTGTGTCAAATATTAGTGCCTTTCCTAAAGTCTAGAATTGGTAATTAAGTTTTGGTGCCTCCTGATTTCTTTTAACTTTTTTTTTCCAGCATCGCCCAACCCAAACAGAATAAAAAAATAGCAGTAAAGAGAGGAGAGAGTCTTTGGCAGCCATATCATGGTGTGGTTTCCTACCTGATCCCCTTCAGCAATCTCCTGGACAGAAGGAAGTGGAAGAGGAGGAGGAGGAAGAGGAGGACACGTTTACAGGACAGAGAGAAAACACGTCAACAGCTACAGTATGGACACGGTATGTAAACACAGAGACACTATGGGTCACACATGGTTTACAATGCAACCCAGAATGAGTTCATGGACATTTAGCGGATGAATGTGAAAGTCTAAACAGATTTCTTCTAACTGGGTCCTTTTCACAGCTAACATTTAATTCCCTCTTCATTATTAGAGCACAGCTGGATACAAACAGCAGCTGTCCACCTGAAGAGATGGGGGACAACAGGGGGGAGGACGATACAAATCAAGGATCTTTTAGTTTTTATAGAAACTTTATCTTTAAGCTTGATGGGTTTAGAAATTAAGTAACATGATTTTGCTCTCCAGTATAAATCCAGGGTAAGGGATTTTTTAAAAATTTTTTTAGCGTCAGCTTTTTTTTTTACTCGCTATCAAGACATTTGCTAATTTGGATGTTTGTAGATTTTTCAAGCAATAAAGGGCTTTTTTCTCAGCATCAGATAAAGTTGTGTGAAATCATCAGGACAGCAAGTACTAAAGAATAATTAAAGGATAAATAAGTAGGAAATTCACTGTAAAGTTAACCAAATTCATTCTCCTTTGTCACCTGGGATGGAAATAAGTTTTTATGCTTTAATAATTTAATACTGACAAAATTCCTCAACTGTAACATGAACCTAAATCTGCTATTTTTTTAAATATTTATCATCACGGAAACAATGACCATTTCCAGCTGGGTTTATGGAGCATTCATTCCAGATATCCTTAATATTAGCATTTTATTTAAAAAGACCACTTGAAACAATATTTGTAACATCTGTACTGATCCTATAGGATTTCTAAGTTTAGATGCTGATTACAATTAGCTAAGCAGTAATTCTACATGGTGTAGCGCTACAGATGTTCTGAACACAGGTGGAGGATCCATTAATCGATGGAAATTATGTTTTATGTCAGATAATGAGGCTGCTTGAAGCTACTGGTTGCAGGAAAGAAAAGCATTTATTTTATTGAAGCAAAAAATAACCAGTCTGACAGTGGACCTAGTTGGATAGGAAAAAAAGGAGGATGAGGTTCTCAGGCATAGGATCTTTTTTGTTCCATAAAAATAAACTTCTTAGACATGAGCCCCATTTCCATTACCCTTTTCAAACCGTGCCGAGATCAATCAGCGCTGCTCAGTTCAGGCTCGGTTACCAGATAAAAAAAGAGAGGCAGGAGCAGCCTGCGTCATCTCCTTACAGCCAGCCTACATAATCATGAAACTTCAGACATTCATGAAAATACTACCTTCCTACTGTGCCACACGATTTCCCGTAATGATTCTGCTTGGCAGTGAGATTAGCCTCAACTCCTGTCGTCGTTTCCTGCATCTGTAAGCCCTGATTAGACTATTGTTTGTCGTATCCAGTTCCCAAAAGCAGACTGTCAAGTAAATTCACCAATTCACCTTCTACGCCTCACTCTCCGCAAACAAAATGTCACAATTATATCCAAACTTCCTGAATGTTACAGGCACTGCCATGTTGATTTGCTTGATTCCCTCTAGAGAGAAGCAGTACTTTAGAACCGCGCTAGCGTGGAACCGCGCTAGCATGGAACCGTGCTAACGGGGTGTGGAAATGGTCGTAAGGAACCTAGAAAACATCTTTACAGCAGAGCTGCGATCGTTTCCTGTTTGCTCAAAACTTCTGAAACGGACTGTTAACACAAAACACCAGGAGCAAAAGGAGGCAAGAGGCGAGCATATGCAAATGCACCTTACAACTACTGACTGTAGTATGTAAGAGTAAAGATGTATAAACACAACATTCCCTTATTTCAACAAACATAGGAAGGTGGAGAAAACCTGCAAGACCGCCAGGAGCAGAGGACGGTGAAACCAAGTGAAAAATGACTCATGATGTTTCGTTCAATAAAGGAGGAGAGGGTTACTAACCTGGATGACTCCTTCCATCATGCTCACCATCTTGTTGACGATGGCGATGACTTTATGCGTTCTCTCAGAGGGGGACATGTCGGGCCGGTAGGTGGGCGACAGGACGTAACGGCAGGCCATGTACAGGACGTAAGTGGGTGACAGCTTGAAGTGGACCGTGGAGCTGTTGGTGTAGTTGATGATGGCTGACAGGAAGGTGTCCTCAGCTGGAAGGAAAAAGCGTGATTTAGCATCAAAATGTAGTTAATTATAGTCTGATAGGGGCAGTAGAGGACAGTGGGAGGCAGATTTAAAACTATATTGTCCATTTATTGTGTGCCTCTTCCCTAATGAATGAATAATGATCATTTAGAGCAGTGGTCTCCAACCCTGGTCCTCAAGATCCACTGTCCTACAGATTTTATATGCATCCCTGCTTCAACACAGCTGAATCAAATGATTGATTACCTTTTCAAGCCATTCATTTGATTCAGCTGTGTTGAAGCAGGGATGCATCACAAACCGCAGATGAAAAATGGCTCATTTAGACACATATACAGCATTTAAAAACCGTGCCGAGCTCAGTAACTGAGATAACTTATCGCGTGTAAATGCAAAGCAAACTGAACTGAACCGAGTTAGACACAACCGAACCGAGCTCAGTGCAGACCAGTTCCAGAGGTGGGCTCGGCTTGGTTCTCTGATAACAAGAGCGCATGAGCAGAACGCGTCATCTCAGTCTGGCTGCACATCGCGATTCACACTCCATTCCAGTAGTTGGCGGTAATGCCCCTCCAGAAACAGAAGAAGAACAACAACTTCTTCTTCAACTATAAACAACAATCTAAATCTTCTCCACACAACATTTTAAATAATGGCATTTTAAATAATAACACCGAAGTACAGCAATAATAATCAAGCATAACTTTTTGAATGTGACGGGCGCCGGCATTTTGATTTGCTTGATTCCCTCTTTCTACATCCTCTTCTTCTTGTGTTTTATGGCGGTTGGCAAACAACTTTTGGTGCATTACCGCCACAGACTGCTTGATTTCCTCCTTTAATACTGGCAGTAATACCGCAGATCGTCACTGAGAGGCGAGGAGTCGAGGAACCGAGATAGCGTGATTTGTAAACGGCCTGGTTAACTGATCCGAGCTCGGACCGGATCAGTTTTTCAAGGGTAGTCTAAATGGGGCTAAAATGGGGAATCGAGTGTTTTACAACATTCTACTTTCTGACTTTTCCATCCCCATACACACCTGGAAAAGACTTACAGTCTAAACTTTTCCAGAAAACATGAAAAAACTGTGGATCGCTTTATTTGATAAAACGAGGCGGTGGAAACTTTTCTTAGAGTTTTTTTTCCAATTAAATAAGATGGCATCATACATTAAATGTAAAGTTTCAAAGGATCCTGCTCCACCACATCCCAGAGGTGCTATTTGATTAGTCGAGTTCACCAAGTCCAGATGAATGTGAATGGTTAACTTCAATATCCATGTTGACAGTGTACCCAAAAAAGTACCATATAAGACAATATATCTTTTTCTTTTTCTTTTTTTTAAATCACTGTACAATCAATCAAAATATAACATCTTAATTATTTTCGGATGTATCTATTGCTTGTGAGACTTGGAGATTTGATTTGAATTTAGACTAAACTTTTTTTTGTTTCCTCAAAAACCAATGATTAGTTAAAATGGGTATTAAGTTTGGTCATGAGGATCTAATTTCTCTAAAGTTTGTTATCCGAATCCATCAGTTTAGTCTAAGAAGTCTTTACATTCTGGGCTACGTTTACCTTTATTGTCCTTATGCCATATGACATTTTAATTTACAACAATCTGGCGTTTTCAATCGGTAACACCACTTCCTGCGATTCTGTGAAGTTTGACCTGCAGACTGTGATTTATGAAAAAAATTTGTAACTGAAAATAAAAAAACATGAAGGAAACGTGTTTAATTATTTTTTTCATTATTATTTTACTATGACTTTACTTCCTCTTTTTAAAACCAATATAGACGCCTTGTGTTTCCCTCTGGAGTCGATGTAAACAGCGAGGATCTTCTCCCACAGCGATTCAGATTTAAGGTAACTGGTGCAGAACTTGGCTCCACCTTCCCATGTGGGATTCCCCAGTAAACCACTTGCCATGCCCAATTCTGTTTCTTTAACTTTAAATTGCTTTGAAAAGTATTTGAACCCAAACTGGTTGCAGCTGCTACTTAGCCTGAGTTTTTTTTCTAATTTCTCATCTAAAGCCTAAAGATCAGAGCAGAGCGTCTGACGGGGCTGCTACAGTGTGTGTGCGTCACCCGCACCGCTAACAAGCCAACTGGAGAAGTGTTTCACTCCCAGTGCATTGTGGGTGGGCAGGTTTGCATCTCTGCCTGGAAAAATAGATGAGCTCACTCTACGCCAAACATACAGAACACACAAAAGCTGGAGGAAGGTCAACAAACATAAAGGTGCACAAAGACAAAGCAAACAGCTGAAGGAAACTGTGGGGAAACACCCTGTTTCAGACAGACCTGCTTTCAAACCCGTTTGGGACTAAAGCTATAAACTAAAACCAGCATAGTTCTAAACATTAACAACAAAAGGGCAAATCTATAAATATATGACACCTAAAATCATTAATCAGCCTTTTTTATATAGTTGCTACAACATTCTTTAAAGATCTGTTAAATAAAAACAAGAAGCATGTTTAAATGATGAATGTTAACACTGCTTTCAGCTGATATGAGTCACTTTTTATTATACCGGAAAGAAAGGGCTGTAAATATAACCTTTGTAAATGTCCATTATAGGAAATCTTACGCTCAATTTAATACCTTTTTACTTCTGTTTTAACAGTTTTTAAAACCAATATAACTGTGAATTTTTATTCAACTATTAAAATATTGTAGTGGGTAAATATTGATAAGTTCACAATTGAAATAAATTACCAATTTTTTTAAATGAAAGGATACTTCTTTTTCACTGATTTATAAAAACAATTCTAGGTTATTTAAACCTAATTCAAGACAAAAGGGATTTTGTTGTCATCTATAAGAAGAGAACAGTCATTCGTCAGAAAAATGAACAGAAAACATTTACAGAAATGTGCAGCTAAAGGAATTCAACATTTAATTAAAGAGCAATTCTAATAAATAAAGTCTAAATTCCTGAAATAATGGCCTTTTCTTTTTTATTGCCAGAACTGATCTTTAACCAAATTCTAAAACTGTACTATCCTTTGTAAAAACTTAAAGCATTTTTTTTTTATGTCATTTTTTGTTTTTTTGGGGTCTCCTATAAGCTGAACTAACCTTTGTTATCCTGATCAGACAATGTTAACATTTCAACCACTAGTATTTATGTCTGTCTAACATAATTGAGCGGATTGTACACACTGATCCACACCCACGTTTCTGGATTCATCATCAAGTTACCTCTTCCTACGTTTCCCCCGAGAAAATGCCTTTATTTCCTAGAATGCAAAGGCTACGTCAAACAAGTTTGCCTGCATGATTAACAAAAACATAAGAATGAGTTCTCACATGACTGCCTGTTCTGAGCCGCGTGTCGCTGCCAGATATAACCTATGGAGCCTTTTCAGCTCGCTGACACTTTTATAACAGTTCAGTATGAACCATTATACGCAGTCAGACGCCACATACAGATATAAAAAGCAGGGTTCCTACCGCATAAGGCAAGTTAAATTCAAGACTTTAAGAGTTTTTAATGCCACTTGAAATATGTAACCCAAAGGTTTATTTTAACATAAACCATTGCACTAATGTTTCAAATTTTGAAAAACTTCCCATACAGGAAGAAAGCTAAAAACACACAAATGACAGATACAGGTGCTGGTCATAAAATTAGAATATCATGAAAACGTAGATTGATTTCAGTAATTCCATTTAAAAAGTGAAACTTGTATATTATATTCATACATTACATACAAACTCATATATTTCAGATGTTTATTTTGTTTAATTTTGATGATTACAAATGACAACAAATGAAAATCTCAAATTCATCATATCAGAAAATTAGAATATTGTGAAAAGGTTCAAAATTGATGGCCCCTGGTGCCACACTCTAATCAGCTAATTAACTCAAACCACCTGCAAAAGCCTTTAAATGGTCTTTCAGTCTAGTTCTATAGGCTACACAATCATGGGGAAGACTGCTGACTTGACAGTTGTCCAAAAGACGACCATCGACACCTTGCACAAGGAGGGCAAGACACAAAAGGTCATCGCTAAAGAGGCTGGCTGTTCACAGAGCTCAGTGTCCAAGCACATTAATAGAGAGGCGAAGGGAAGGAAAAGATGTGGTCGAAAAAAGTGTACAAGCAAGAGAGATAACCGCACCCTGGAGAGGATTGTGAAACAAAACCCCTTCAAAAATGTGGGGGAGATTCACAAAGAGTGGACTGCAGCTGGAGTGAGTGCTTCAAGAACCACCACACACAGACGTATGAAAGACATGGGTTTCTGCTGTCGCATTCCTTGTGTCAAGCCACTCTTGAACCACAGACAGCGTCAGAAGCGTCTTGCCTGGGCTAAAGAGAAACAGGACTGGACTGCTGGTGAGTGGTCCAAAGTCATGTTCTCTGATGAAAGTAAATTTTGCATTTCCTTTGGAAATCAAGGTCCCAGAGTCTGGAGGAAAAGAAGAGAGGCACTTCATCCACGTTGCTTGAAGTCCAGTGTAAAGTTTCCACAGTCAGTGATGGTTTGGGGTGCCATGTCATCTGCTGGTGTTGGTCCATTGTGTTTTCTGAGGTCCAGGGTCAACGCAGCCACATACCAGGAAGTTTTAGAGCACTTCATGCTTCCTGCAGCTGACCAACTTTTTGGAGATGCAGATTTCATTTTCCAACAGGACTTGGCACCTGCACACAGTGCCAAAGCTACCAGTACCTGGTTGAAGGACCATGGTATCCCTGTTCTTAATTGGCCAGCAAACTCTCCTGACCTTAACCCCATAGAAAATCTATGGGGTATTGTGAAGAAGAAGATGCAATACACCAGACCCAACAATTCAGAAGAGCTAAAAGCCACTATTAGAGCAACCTGGGCTATCATAACACCTGAGCAGTGCCACAGACTGATCGACTCCATGCCACGCCGCATTGCTGCAGTAATACAGGCCAAAGGAGGCCCAACTAAATACTGAGTGCTGTACATGCTCATACTTTTCATGTTCATACTTTTCAGTTGGCCAACATTTCTATAAATCCTTTGTTTTTATTGGTCTTCAGTAATATTCTAATTTTCTGATATGATGAATTTGAGATTTTCATTTGTTGTCATTTGTAATCATCAAAATTAAACAAAATAAACATCTGAAATATATGAGTTTGTATGTAATGTATGAATATAATATACAAGTTTCACTTTTTAAATGGAATTACTGAAATCAATCTACTTTTTCATGATATTCTAATTTTATGACCAGCACCTGTATATTTGAACAATTATTTAACTGAATTCACAAACTTTGTTTTAGCAGGGAACAAAACAAATCAGTTTTAAAGCCCCAACACAACCAGTGCTAAGTCTTTTTTGCAGCTATTTTTCTTTGTATCATTTTCTTAGTATGTTTGATTTGGTGATAAGTGGAGGCGTTGCAGAGACAAGGGTGGAACTAAACTGAGAAATACCGGCTGTTTCTCGGTAACCCGATTTTGACGCTTTGTGTTTCGTGCTTCCCATGTGCGACTCCCCTGCCTTAATTCCCATCGTTCTGAGCTTGAATGACTTCTTGCACAAAATCCACTTTGCCTCATGTATGTTCCCTGGTTTTAGCCATGGAGAAAACTCTTGGCTGGATAACCAATTTTCGTTATATTTACACTTGCTCATATTTTCCAGACAAAAAGTTAATGGTGCATCTCCCAAATGTTCCAGCCGCAACAACGCTTTCATTGGTTCCGCTATCGGGACGGAGCCAATAATGGCGAACCATTATTTTTTTTTTTGTATTAAAAAAAAAAAATGGAAATTTTAACGTTTTATTTAGATTACAAAAATAAATCATAATAAAAATAATCCTATTTATGATGTTTAAAAAAATTAAGACCTACGAAAGACTAATTTAAGACATTTTAATACCAATTAAGGCCTTAGTTTTATTTTGAAGGATTCAATGCCTTTTAAGACTTTTTAAGGACCCGCGGGAACCCTGAATAAAGGTAGCTTTGTGAGCACCTTGTACAGAGTCGGCATAGACTGCGCCGACGTTCGCAGATGTGTCAGCAAGAGCAGTGAGCTGTTCATTTGGACCATTTAAGGTCTATTGTTAGAGCATAAACTGACAGGAAAGGTTTTAAGGCACACCGTTTTACCACTTAATTACACACACTGACTGATGTCTATGTCATCGCTGACTCAGGTCCTTCTCACAAACAAAAATAGCAAATATAGGCTTAAAGCATGTATTTTTTAGGAGACAGCTTTTTCACAAAAACAAAGTTTTTAACTGGGCACTCAGATGTGTTTGATTTTGTCAGATGTAATTATGTCTTTGTAAAGGTTAATATTTTTGCTGATTTTATTAATCTTTTAAAGCCTAAATAAAACAAAAATCCTAAATATTTTAAAAGTTAAATTAGAACATTTAATTGCATCTATTTTAATACATTCGGCATTTCTGTGTAATCTTTTATACCTTTTCTCTTCACTACATGCGTCTGATCGTGTACAGCTTGTCTAAAACTTGACAGAAAAGATTGAAGCGCAGGCGGTTCCGCACAGAAAACATCCTGGGATTTATAGGGGTGTAAATAATAATCATTTTGTATTGATGCATCGATCTAATAGCCGACGATCCGATGCATCAATACGTCCGAAAGAGAATCAATTCATGTTTTTTGAGGTTTTAAAGGAATAGTACACCCAAAACATGATTAGCCTTCATTTTCTACTCACCCCCATGCTGAACAACACTCTGGAGTACTTTTTTGATATCTCAAATGCATCTGGAGATCTGGGAGGCTTCTTGCTGTCTGCTGACATTCAAATAATGGAGGTCTATGGCGCCCGAGGCAGAAAGGTCCATAAAAGTCCACAAAAAACGTGTCAATATTCTTCCATACTGCTCGTCCAATGTATTCCAAGTGTCCTGAGTGGGTAGCGTCCATAATTTACTCGAAACGAAGTCATTTAGAATGTTTTTAGAGCATAAACAGTAGTGTATAGGATTTCCTGAAAGCGCGTTCACGGCGCTACGGAAACCGCCGCAGACCAACCCAGACGAAAGTGTGCATTCAGCTCAGCAAAGAACTCATGCTCTTCCTCAACACTGAAGTCCTCAGACATTTTTCTTTCGTTGTTTCTTTCTTTGCACAGGTAAACAGCACATTTCTTCTTCTACGCTTGCATTATCGGCAGAGCAGACGCTGAATGCGCACTTTCATCTGGTTTGGTCTGCCGGCTTCCGTAGCGCTTTCAGGAAATCCTATACACTACTGTTTATGCTCTAAAAACATTCTGAATGACTTCGTTTCGAGTAAATTCTGGATGCTACCCACTCAGGACACTTGGAATACATTGGACGAGCAGTATGGAGGAATATTGACACGTTTTTTGTGGACTTTTATGGACCTTTCTGCCTCGGGCGCCATAGACCTCCATTATTTGAATGTCAGCAGACAGCAAGAAGCCTCCCAGATCTCCAGATGCATTTGAGATATCAAAAAAGTACTCCAGGGTGTTGTTCAGCATGGGGGTGAGTAGAAAATGAAGGCTAATCATGTTTTGGGTGTACTATTCCTTTAAGTCAGTTTTCAAGAACAAAAATATCACACTGGTGATACAGAAGTCTGAAAATCTCATGTATCAAATATGATACACTTGGCTTTAAAGGGTTAAATACCTTTTATAACTTGCAGACACCGTTTACTAACATTTACACTTCAGTCAGGTCAGATTGAAAGAGACTAAAATAAAGGTTCAATAGTTTCCAGCTATTGAGCGACAGGCCGGCGGAGATGCTCACAGTTTTCTCTAAAGTCGATGCTGGCTGGAAGAGTCAGCTCTGTCCTGTCTGCTGAAAGGTCCTGGGACCTGTTGAGGAGAGAAGAAAACACCGTTGGAAGACTGGCCGAGAAAATGGCTGGATGAAGTCAGAAGAAGTTGTCTGACCTGCTGTCCTGCTGCTCTCCTCTGATCATGGGTTTAACCATGCCTCTCTCCATCTCCAGTTTCCCTGAGCTCTGCAAACGACAAAACATAGAAAGTTTTCACTTTAAACGGAACAGAAATCCCCCTTTTTAAAAAGCAATTAGAATAAAGAAATTAAAAGACATTTAATTTTTTATTTAATTTGTTATGTATTGTTTTATGGCTTTGTTGTAAAGCACTTTGGGTACCATTTGGCTATTGTAAAGGGCTATACAAATAAACTTGATTGATTGAAAAGACATTTAAGACAAAAACCCACACAGGTCTGCTTATAAATACACAAATAAAACATTAGCAGAGTTTAGTTTTTACTGTATTCAGTCATTTTAGCCTTTACGCTATAGTAATAGAAATGGCACTGATTTTAGAAAGGAATTTGGGTAGATTTTGGTCAATCCTGAGGAAATTGGTATTATTAAAATATAGGGATGCACGATATTGGGATTTTGGCCGATATCCGATATGCCGATATTTTAAAACCCATGTAGCCGATAACCGATATTGATACTGATGTTAAAGCTGGACAAAAATAAGTAGTCATTGAAAATAGCAGTTTTGTTATCCATTTCTGACACTTCGAAAAATAATATACTCAAATATATTTTCATATGCTGATATCAAATTGATTTTTAAAAACGCGGTATCGATCTATTTTACTTTCAAAATCTCGTGAAATTTCATCGTTCTGTTACAAACTCTCGTGATATTTTGCAAATTCTTGTGAGATTTTGTTAGTAAAATAGATCGATACCGCGTCAATATATCAACATATAAAAATATGGCAACATTTCGTGAATTTTCGGGGGAATTTCGTACCATAATGATGACATATAGCAATATTTCATTAGCAAAAGAGATTGATATGGTGTTTTTAAATGGCAATATATCAGAATATGAAGATATTGTGATATTTTAATGTATCAATATTTTTTGTATCAATAAGTTTTTAAGTCTGTAAAAAAGAAGTTTTTTAGGAAGAAGAAGAAGTAGTATTTTTTTTTTTTTAGACTTTAGAAACTCAGAAGCTGATCAAATATCTGGTTAAATATCGGTGGGGTGGCCGATGTCCGATATTCAGTTTTAAGGCCGATACCGATAGGGCGCCGATTATATCGTGCATCCCTATTAAAATATAAAAGAAATTTGGAATCATGTCCTTGAAATGCTAGGAAAAAAAAGTGATGTCAAATATTTCCATGCTGGTAACAAAGGTAAATTATTTGCAAATTTAGGTGTTTGTGTTTTTTTTTGTTTTTTTTGTTTTGTTGATTGCAAGCATTAATTTGTTGTTCACCAGTGATTGTAAAAAGTGTAGTCAGCCAATGACTTATTCCTCTTTATTCAAATTTCAGCTTGATTTTGTTTAGTTTTTTAATAATTATGAGTATCGATTGAATAAAACCGCATCACACAAAATTTCTGCATCATAAACATGCAACTTTTCCCCTTTCATTGGTGAATCAGTCACTTCAATCAATAGCTTATTATCTAGAAACTTCAGTTATGCTAAATTAACCGTACCTTAAAATAAATAAACAATAAACAGAACCAAAAATCCCCCTGTTCTCCATACTTCTAAGAGTACTTCACATCCTATTTAAAAAAAAAAAAAAAAAAAATACAAAAAGCCTCAGCCTAAATGTACAGATTCCTTCAGGGCAGCATTGAGGATAAAGGCTAGCAGGTTGGTCACCTTGCTTGTTGGAAGACCCCCTCCACTGTGGACGTCTCCGCGGAGGTCGAAGGTGGTCTCTGTTACGCTGCTGCAGATGACAAACAAACAGTCGGCAGTTTAAACGTTTGACTTTTCATCGCTGAAAACAAAACGAGGTCAGATTTAATCCAGTAGCCACATTTACTTATCTAACTCATCCTCTGGAAGAAGAGAGCCACAGCTAAGAGGCTGGATGATGTCTCCTTTATATATAAACTCAGAAACATAAACATAATGCTGTAATTAAGAAGAAAAAAACACGGCAGGTGTCCAGAAGTGCAGTCCAGCTGGCCCACTGTGTGTTTGTCCTCTACTGACAGCAGCAGCAGTAGGGTTAAACACAGCAGAACATTTCCACTCTTATTGACGGTCAGAATAACCAGCAGGCGGCTAAAACTAGGTTACACCAATCGCAGCATCACAACCATAAACAATCCATTTATCTACCAGCTTTTAACCTTCATAACAATATGTAGGTCTGCCGGGAACTTTGCATCCTTTGGCTGTAATGTAATAATTTAGCTGTTCCGTTTCTAAAACAGAAGAAACTTATTAAAAAAAAAAAAAACTATAATACAGTTTAAAAACAGGTTCAGATTTGGAGGGGATTTTAACTTTATCCACTAATACTTAAATGAACCTCCATTATCAAGCTCAAACATCTTTTCTAACTCTGGACTGATATCTGACTGCTGAATCAGTAAAGTTTATATAAACAAACACAACTTATGACAATAGTGAATCAAACTTTCCATCCAGGTCGAGATAAAGCCCATTCCAGGAGATTAGGGTCAAATTCCCCAAAAAACATAGGAAATGAAACCATTGCACCATAATGTTCTCCTAATTCTAAATGAAATTGGTTCGGATGGTAAGAAACAGCCATAGCTCATCATGCTAGAACCTAATTTAATTTAAATTGGCTCAAAGTTTTATTCAGAAATACTCCACTTTAAAAAAAAAAAACTAATTAAACAATCAGTCCAAATGGATATTGAGGTATTCCGGTGGTTTGGAAAGGTGAGGCATTAGAATCCAAGAGTTGTGTGAGCATGGTGCTGGCAGCATTATGCTGTGCATCTACAGTATAACGCTGCAATTATCTAATGGGGAAAAAAAAGAAAAACCCGTTACATTTTGTTTTTTTGTTTGAATCATCAGTTAAACTTGATAGGAAAAGTACGCATCTTTTCCAATTGACACATATTTATGCTCCGTGCTCCGTTCTCACCAAGTCCACACTTTGCTGTGTTCTTCTCAAGAACATACTTGGCGATGACACGGGTCTGTACTCGCGTTCTTGTGAATTGAGAAACGGCACAAAACAAAAAGAGAGTGGATGAGCAAGAGGGCGCCACTTACTGGCCGGGAGGACTTAACTTGTAGCCATGACTTTTAAATGAGAAAATCCACAATCATTTAATTCTTTATTTTTTAACTTTGCGCTTTTTTTACAGTTGAATAAGCTGATAAAATTATTTTAAGAAATTGAGAAAAATATATTGCTTTATAGGTTATGATCAAATACTCTATGTACTCATTTACTATGTAAACTAGGGATGGAACGGTTTATGAAAACCGTCCGAACCGTTCGGTCCGACTGTCTCGGTTCGGTTCGTGTGTGTTGCGTTTGGTTCATGCGCTGCTCCTTTTTCTCATAGGCGAAGCGTGTACACTCCAGAGCAGAAGGTGGCGGTACTGCGACCAAAGCCAACCACCAGTAGTAAACAAGAAGAAGAAGAAGCGAAGCAGCGTAGCCGGGTGTAGCAGAAAAAAATGAGTTGTTGTGGAGAATTGTGTGGGTATTATAGGTCTGCTGTATGGGACCACTTTGCATTTAGAGTGACCTACGATGACGACGGAAAGAAAGTTGTGGATAAAAGTGCAACAGTGTGCAAGCATTGTGCACCAACATGTCAGGCTAACCCCGAAATCCCTCATACTCCGTCAGCGCTCCGCTGCGCTCCAGACCGCCTGCACAAAGCAAAGCCTACAGCCTCCACTGTGGCTCCCGTCCACTCTGAGTTCCTTGGAGATCGTAGAGGGCATGCGCGAGATGATTAAATTCAAAGCAGCAAAACATGCGGAAATGATCCATGGTTTCCGCGAATCATTAAAAATAATTACAATTCATTCATTTTTTTTTTTTTTCATTAATTTCTTAAATTTTTATGGGATTTCGGGGTAACAATCAACATATACCGAACCGAACTGAAAACCGTGACCACGAAACCGTGAACCGAACTGAACCATGGATTTTGTCAACTGTTCCACCACTAATAAGCTGATAAAATTATTTTTAAAAAATTGAGAAAAACATATTGCTTTATATGTTACGATCAAATACTCTTGATTTAAACATATCAAAAGGTGCAGAACCGTGTATTTTATGCATCATTACATAAACTAGTTCCCAAGCTAGTATGGGAATAATGTGGTGAAGGTTACTTGCTTAGGGAGAGGGAAACGTACATGTTCAAGTAAGGTCAAATTTAATACAGCATCCATGAGGGAGTCAATCTGCTCTTCTGATCAGTATTCTGTTTAAACACTAAATGTATGATGGTGTTTATATTGCTAAAGGATAAAACTGAACACCCTGTTGTTTCTGCTTTTAATGAACCAAATAAAAACATTTTACAAGTAAAAAGAATAAAGACCTAAAACTATTTCAAGACTGTTGCAGTTTTATGTAGACATATGTTAATCATTGGATAAAAGCAACCGTCCAAACGTCGCTCCAGACGTCTGGGATCTTTTAACGCTCCGATCTCTCACCGATTGAAGCTAAATGCCGCAGCTGACAGTCGGGCATCAGTCAGGAGGCAGCAGATTAAAGGTCCCAACACCACTTCACTACACGGCCGTCTGAGCAGCTGCCAAATGCCTCACGTCCCTAAAAAATCTGCCAGATTGAGGCAGTAATCAGACTTAACATCTCAACAAGACTCTTGTTGGACTGAAGAAGGTATCTGTGAAAGTTTGGACGGCGGCCCAGAAAACCACAGGGATCCGCATCAACCACTTCACACACTGCAAACGGGCTCAGAAAAACTACAGCTGCTGCTGAAACATATGATATCTCAGACAACCAAGTAAAAAATCAACAACTACTGAAGACCTTTAGAGTTTTGGTCACAGTATAACGGGTCTGATTAGAATTAAAAGTGAATCTCAGATGAAATGATAATCTGGGCTGCTGTTCTGTAATTTTTTTACTTATAGTTCGAAGATTGAGTTTCTTCTTGCGCACATTCAAAGATTACACATACAAAAATCAGGATCTCATTGTTGCACTGCACCACAGCTTAAAAAACTATATCCAAATCTTAGCTTTGAACAATCATTTTTTTATGCAATTTCAGGAGAAAAAAAACAACAACTGATGTTTACATTGGACTTTGAGGGTTAAAAGTTTCCATTTCTGGCTGGAACATAAGCTGAGATCTTGAAATCTTTATTTCATGTCTCTGGTTTTTCTCTCATATCACATCTGCTACATATCCAATACAGAGTGTTGCCATGCGGCGTCAAAGGAGACGAATCTGAGCAGAAAATATCCAGAAACGTCAACTTGTAGAAACCCTAGCAGATCTTATGTCCAGATTGCTGCAATATATATGATATAGAAACCCTTCCAAGAAACCCAATCAATCTACAGAGCTTCTGAAAATAGATCTTCTAGCTTGCGACTATGCTAATTTAAGAAAATTAAAACCTATCTTAAAGGTTTGTAGAAATTTTTTATTTTTAGAGCCAAAAGGTGTGAATGTTGCTCTAAACCGGAGGTCTTCAACAGGGTGTCCATTACTTTTTTTTGTTTATTTTATATTCCCCTTTGCAATTTTTTTCCACTAATTGAAATGTCTTTAAATACACATTAAAATGAATTCAACACACTGTAGTAAACAGATACATGGAGGCAGAAGATGTCTATCAGGCATCAATGCACACATTCAGAGACACACAGGAGCTCTTTCAAGCTGGGCACCGTTTCATTCACAACACCTGTCCCATCAACTAGGAATCAGAAATACTTTAATAATCCCAGAGCGAAATTACTTTCATTACATGACTCCATCTGTAATAGAGTGACTATAGGACCAGTTTGATAGAACACTATTTCATACAATATATATCATTAGGGGGTCCCCGCTCCATCCTGCCGCCAGTTTGGGGGGCCTTGGCCTGGAAAACTTTGAACCCTGATCTAAACTAAACATCATCAGAAACAAAACCATGTAAGCAAGTGGGGAATTAGCATCCAATGATATCTTCCAATGATAGCAAAAAGAGAAGCTTTTCCTCAGCATTAAACCAAAAACAACAGAAGCTACCAGGTGAGGAAACCTGTACAGATAAGCATGTCTTTGTTTTGTAGCACATATTTTATTTAATCATGTGTGACGTGGAAAGGCGAGGCAGCGACAGGGAAGGATGTTGCAGGAATGTGTATTTGCCTATTGCAAAATGATGCAGCCATAATATGTAGATAAAAGACATGGAGATAAAGGATGTTTTCTAAAGCACAGTCAACAGTGTTCCATGTGGCGATTAGAACTCCAGGACGGGATTAGACAAGCAGCTGATAGCAGCCTTAAAAACATGCAGGGGAAACTTAAAGCAGTTTTAATTTCCTCTTTCATTACTAAAACTAAGAAATGGCTTCTAGTTTCAGCTCAGTTTACATTCTGATTACTTCTTCCTCCCTGTCTGTGAAGGCTGATGGAAATCACCTGATGGGAGGTTTTTGCTGGAGTGTAAACATGAACTCAACACTCAGGCTGGGAGGTACTCAACTCTGCCCACTTTTAAATATATAGTGAGCAAAGTCACTCTTTAACTAAACACTAAAACAAAACATTCTAATTAGGAGAAAAGTTTTGATCTTTATCCAGGAATGGAGCCAATTCTGAATTCATAAAGTTATATCTTAAGCTAAACATCTTAAAAGCCCCAAAAGACAAGAGCTGAACTACATTTTATGGAATCCAGCCTGGGTTTAACTAGAATTACGGAGAAAAGAAGGTCACTTACGCTCCGTCTGCTCTTCTCCAACTGCTACCTGCTGCTGAAGCCCTTTAAAAGCTATAAAACAAATATTTCCAAGCCGGTCCTCATATTTAACTTTCTCACACACTCGTTTCTCCTCTCATCTGCTGTGCTCTCTGTGTTATAGTGAAAGTGCAGCGAGCGGGAGGCCCCACCCAACACCATGCTGATCAGATTAGAGGGCAGCGTGTTGCCATAACCCTAGACCTTTGCTCTTCCTCTCCTCTCATTTCCTCCATCCAGCCTAACCAAGCACCGCCTCCTCCTCCTCGCTTTTCATCTAACCTCTTTTTCTCCACCCAACATCTACGACACTCTGATCATATATTTTAAAAGAGCAAGCGGGAAAAAGAGAAAGAGTAAAGATGACAGGAGACGGAGCCGCTCTCCTCCTCCCTCACCCAGATTTGTGTCGGGTCCTCATGGCGGCGTTTGGATCCCTCTTCCCTCCCTGGTCAAACATCGGATCGACAAATTTAAAGACGTGCGCTGAGCCGAACTGGAGGGTGCATCCAGAGCGCAGGACCGTGGTCTCTGTGACCCGCTGCCCGTCCACAAAGGTGTCGGCGTCGGGGCCGTGCGGCGTCACGGTCACCATGCCTTCGCTGTGCATCAGGTTGCAGTGGTGGGGCAGGATTCCCGGGCCGAGGAGCTGCAGGCAAACAGAAAGAACAGAAGCACTAAACTCACTTTGCATCAGCTGGAAAAATCAGCCTGAAGCTCTGAAGTAATTCAATCAGATGGACCAGTTGAGCAGAACCACCTGAAGAAGAAACCAGTCGTAGGGCCGTTTCATATCATATAGTTACTTTTTTGGTTTTTATTTTTCTATTAACTTTTTCTTTAGACATTTTCTAATAAATTTTCATCTAAAAAAAAAAAAAAAAACAATAGTTTGCCTTGAGCATTTCTTTTTTTAAATATCAAAGCAAAAATTATGCACAACAACTGATATCTTAATAAAATGCATTTTTTTTAAAAACCCACCAAGATAATGGAGGGCTGGAGGTTATCGTTCATTAAAATGTTTAAAGTTGATATTTGAAAACATCCTCCTAACTTTATATTTAGTATGAATCTACTGTATGAATAAAGACTGCCAGCAGAATATCCATCTGTATTGGTGCTGGTTAGAGGGTGCAAAAAGCAACTTTTTAACTGAAAAAAAAAGGTCTGAGAATTTTTGGGGAAATAAAACCTAAACAAAATATGATAAAGTAGAAAAGCGTACATTAAAGGCAGAGATTAGGGGTGTAAATAATAATCGTTTTGTATCGATGCATCGATCCAACAGCCGACGATCTGATGCATCGATACGTCCGCAAGAGAATCGATTCATGTTTTTTTTTTCCTCCGGTCTATTTTTATCCATTTGCTCCTGGGCGTAAGTCTCCCTCCCGTGCTGCGGTGGCGCTAAACCTATTTAGCCCTCCTACCTCGCTTCCTGGTTATACTCTTACAGCAGTGTGTTGCAGTGAGCTCGACACAGACACTTTTAAATTATGCTCAATATTGAAGCGTGGTCTGAGCTACACGCTGTGGGTCTAGATACGGCCGAGGCGGCGAGGAAGTGGGGGCGAGTTTAGTCCGACGATGGAGGGACAAGAGACCGTTAGCGTGGCTATCGAGCAAGTTTTATCGGAATTACAGAGTATTTCTTCACTGAAAGAAGAGCGAAACACTGCTCTGGAGGCTTTTCTCAGAGGAAAAGATGTTTTTACTCTTCTCCTGACTGGTTTTGGCAAGAGTAGCCTGGCTTGTGGTTGTGTTTTGGTCGTCGCTCTGTTAGTACGTCATATGCTTCGTTGATCTGATTGGTTTATTTGGCCCGTCTATCACCAACATAGGCCAATCAGCTAACCAGTATTTTCGCCCCTTCCCAAAATTACTTCAACGGAAGGTTTCCAGATGGATATGCGGAGCAAATCCATCTGGCTGAGTAAGGTTACAAGAAAACAGCGCCTCAGCCAATTCTTAGGCTCTAGTGCCCTTAATTGTTTATTTTATTTATCATTTTTTTTGAAAGTATGTAGACAGGAAAGCAGGTTGCAAGAATGGGGGGAGACATTCAACAAAGGTCAGCATGATCGGAACTTAAACCTGAGTCAGCCGGTATATGGGTCATACAGTCTACCTCCACACCATCGCAGCATCCCAACCCCAGCCAAATTAAGGTAAATCTACAGCAGGATGATAGTTAACATCTTTAAAAAATAAAGAACCAAGTCTTCAAGCACAGTGGGGCAGATGGTAAAGGACGTAAAGATCTCTTAAGTTTACGGGTAGTGAAAACAGCACGCTGCGTCTTGAGTCACCATAAAAAAAAAAAATCATGAGACGAAACAAAAACAAGCACGCAGGAATTCAAAAAACATTTTGGTTTTTGCCACAAACCTGAATGTCTAGAGTCTGAAAATACTTCTAGGACTGTAATCGCAAAACATCCATTTACTTTATAGATGCTGTCTGGTGTGAAACATGCAGGAAAGCCCTTCTGATACAGCTATGTTACTAAGTTGGGTGTAGTTGATCTGGGTAAATAAAGTATTTCTAAACACGCCTCTCGTTACACGCCTGTTACACATTCCCACTCTTTAGGTGTATCTGAATGAGAATGATAAATAAAAGAATCTTTAAAATGATTCTACTGATAAATAAACTTCTTTAACTTCAACTAAAACAAAGCTTATAAACAGCTGGAGTTCTGGTGGTTCACCTGGATGGCTCCGTCTTCTGTGCAGTCCGAACCGACCTCTGTGATGCTGTGCTGAAGCCGGTACAGCTTCGGTTTGTCTCTGGAGTCGGAGCCGTCTGGAGGCACAGAAAACCTCAGTTTAAGCACAAATCAAGACGCGGCTACATTCATTTATTTCACTATTTCCAGAATAAACAGTCAATCAGAAGTGGTGTGTGCAGAAGTAATTCTGACTGAAGTGATGCAGCAAGTGAGCAGAAAAGAAAAGCTAATGATTAATAGTAAGCAAGTTTTAGTAAAAGCAAAGCATCACATTAGTTCAAACTGTCTGCTGTGGAGGAATGAGGAGGACAAAAAACCTTTGGAGACAACTATTCAAAGATAGATTAGGTTCGTCCTTTCTGGAGGTTCTAGTCCATTATGGTTTGTAATAGAGATTGACCAATGCACGTTCTTTAATGGTGAAGCAGGTACAGATTATGTTGTTATTAGTGTAAACAGGGTTGCAGCCTGTGGCTCTTTGTACAGTAACTTCTACAATGCTATTTATAGTGACCTATACTGATAAACCGGTGAAGAAATAAGTAAAAATGTCATAAATCAAGTGTTTATCCTTAATTTGAGCAGGTAAATTAAATAGTTTGCCGATGGAATGAGTATTATTATTCTTAAAATAAGATACTTAGATAATATGCACAATAAGACAATGCAATTGTGTTTTCTTATTTTAAAGGAAAATTGTCTTGTTCCTTTGGCAAAGTTGTGGTTCTGAACAAATTTTACTCGGTTGGACTCGGGGCAAAATGGCTTTTTGGACTTTGGACCACTGGTGTAACTGATCCACAATATGTGCTGCCGATTTTTGGGGGCTAATTTGTGGAGAAGATGCCTTCCATTATCTATTTACATTAGGGGTGGAACAGTTCACAAAATCCACGGTTCGGTGTATGGCTTCGTGGTCACGGTTTTCGGTTCGGTATATGTTGATTGTTAACCTGACATGTTGGTCATGTTGCTGTTAGCATAAACAAAACATGTTGCACAATTCTTGCACACTGTTGCACTTTTATCCACAACTTTCTTTCCGCTGTCATCGTAGGTCACTCTAAATGCAAAGTGGTCCCATACAGCAGACCTATAAAGTGCTGCTGGCGCGTCTTCCAACTCCTGTTCTTTCCCACTCGCCATTCCCACACAATTCTCCACAACAACTGATTTTTTCCCTGCTATACCCGGCTACGCTGCTTCGCTTCTTCTTCTTCTTGTTTACTACTGGTGGTTGGCTTTGGTCGCAGTACCGCCACCTTCTGCTCTGGAGTGTAAACGCTTCACCTATGAGAAAAAGGAGCAGCGCATGAACCGAACGCAACACACGCGAACCGAACCGAGACAGTCGAACCGAACGGTTCGGACGGTTTTCATATACCGTACCATCCCTAGTTTACATGATAAAAGGGAAAAATATATGATACACGTCTATAAAACACCAAGTCAAATAAAATGATAATAATGAACAGGAGGCAGCAATGTTCCACGCACTTAATTTGCTAAAACATTGCTGCTGAATGCACTAATGCAGGATTCTCCAACGTTTTTTCAGGCCAAGACCCCCAAACTGATGGCAAGATGGAGTGGGGACCCCCTAATGATATATTATGTATGAAATTGTGTTATATCAAACTGGTCCTATAATCACTATTATAAATGGAGTAATGTAACGTAATTTCGTCCTGGGATTATTAAAATGTATTTCTGATTCTGATTCCTGGTTGATGGGACAGGTGTTGTGAATGAAACGGCGCCCAGCTTGAAAGAGCTCCTGTGTGTCGCTGAATGTCTGCATTGATGACTGAAAGATATCTTCTGCCTCCATTTATCTGTTTACTACAGTGTGTTGAATTCATTTTAATGTGGATTTAGACATTTTAATTAGTGGAAAAAAATTGTGGGGGGAAATATAACTCAACCAAAACTTTCGCCACCCCCTTGCAGTACCTCCGTGGACCGCCTAGGGGTGGCAGACCCCCTGTTGAAGACCTAAGCACTAATGAATCCAACATCTGCATGCGATGCTGATTTTAAAAAAAGCTCTAATTTTGGCCAAAAATATTGTTCAGCGATGTATCAGTCTATTTTTAGTCTGTAAGGGATCATCCTCAACAACAACTCAGACTGCTACAATATAAATGTAATAAAAGTTGAATTAATACTGTAAAAGTGTCATATTTATGTAGCTGTAATCAAACTCCTAGATAAATAGCATCGTTACCCCTCATCTGTAACAAAGTATGAATATCTGACTAAAACGTTACATCAAACATCTGCCATTTCCAAGCCAACATGTTTGAGCTGAAAAGGCTTCAGAGCAGAACCAACCCCTCTGCTGGAAGAACAGGAGGAGGTGCGGTGCAGTTTTTACCTTCTTGGTGCCGATAGGCGTAGTAGGCATAGTGATTCCCTCGGCCTACAGACGGCAGGCAGGCGGGCAGGCAGGTAAGGAGCAGACGGACACATGCACAGACCCCACGCACGCGCACACACACACACAAACAGGCAACCAAAACATGCCATGAGAAGGTGGGAAAAAAAGAGACATAGCAGAAGGTAAAAATGCAGCAAGGAGGAAGAAATATGCAATAATAACCAACTAACCCCAAAACGCACACAGACCACAAATTTATCAGCACTACAGCAGTTTAAAATCCCACTACTCTATAAAACGGGAAATAAAGAATGAAATCCATTTGTATTGAGGGAAGAAAAAATCAGTTTTAAGTTGGATCCAAATCAAAACTGCCTTCATAGGACAAGAAGTGAAATATATTTTACATTAAATTCAAAAACATTCCAGGACTAACTAACTGTATGCAGCTATGTTTAGCAGCTATGCTTAGCAAGACGAAGCTAATCGTAATAAACGTACGATGGGATTAAAATTTGTCATGTAAAAACATGGCATTCGGAATATTCTGATTGGATTTGCAGGATAAAAAATTATAATCTTGCTAAGAAGTGGTTTATCTCGATTGACAACCTGATCCGTAAGCATGTAAACGCTGAATGAGGCAAACACGCCATGTACACGCCGCATCCATGTGATATACTAGATAAACGAGTAGCTAGCCAGAGCGTCGGAATATTCCAACACTTTTACTTTACACATTTTGTATTTGTTCAACCATTTATTCATATTACTCATGTCAATATAAGTAGTACAGTCCAGCTATTTGTTTTTGAGCCAGAATACATTTTAGTCTAATGTGGTATAGGAACTTAGTTAGCCAGAGATTTTTTGTACAAAGCTAACCCAATAAAAACCCCTGAACAAACTGAGCGACAGAAGTTGGTGACTCAGAATCAAAAATATGGTCAATATTCTAATTAATAACACTCAGTCGACATTTCCCAATCCATGGACATGTTTAGCGATATCAGGCTTTATTGGAGCGTAAAAGTATCCTGGCATAAACCAGATTAATACGTGTAGTTGAATTCAGTTCCTACATGGTATCAGTCTTGGAAGCCTCCTGTAGAACGTGTTTGCAAAAGTTGGGACATTCAGTACAATTCTTTCAAACTGATTGGGGGCCTCCTATGTCGAATTTTTAGCCAATCACAGCAGCAGTAGCGGCTGAAACGTTTCACATTCTTGATTTGTTTCACAGCTAGCAGAGTTAACCTATAAAGCAAACTCTAACGCAATCCCGACATGAGGAACCCGCAAACATCTTTGCATCCAAAAATCACATCCTGTACGTTTTTTTAAAAAAGAAATAGAGGTTATTCCAGCTGAAACTGACGCAGCCATGTTTATTTTGTTTCAGTTTTCCGCCTCTGGTTAACGCGTTGACGTCATGCACGTCGCTGTATATCATTGGTCCCAAACATTTCTGTATCGAGGCTGACTCATCGGTTGGCTACTGGTAAGATGTATTTACGTGAGTTTACGTAAGTATGAGAAATGAACTCTAATATTAGTCTCACTGAATAACTAACTGTTTTTAAACTTTTATTATTTCTTAATCTCCTTTTTTCTCATAATTCTGACCTAAAATATTAAGAAAATCTCATTCAGACTGACAGCACTCAACTCTGTTTATTAAACCCACTGTACCCACAACCGGTGACCAGTAAACCGCTCTGTTAATGTGACATAGATGCGTTAGTATGCTCCTGCATCAGGGCCTCGGGTCCCCCAAAAACATCCCAGCATAGTAGGGTGTTTCTGGGTCACCTTTGGGGTCAGGAGAGTTAATGATGCCAGGTGATTAAAAAAAAGCAGATGGAGAGAAAGGAGAGAGGAGGATCAGTAGCAAGAAACAAGCTGTTAGGGCTGCAAACTTGTGTTTATTCTCCAAAATGACTTGAAAGCATCTCTTCACGAGTTTCTTAAGGCTTTATTCCAAGATAAATACTTCAGGAAAAACACTTACCTTTCATATCCGTTGAAAAAAAACCTCAGACCTTACAGTTTGTACATTTACATCAATTTATATTTGTGAATATAAATATGAATCACTGGTAACTTTGCAGGGAGCAAGATGTAAATACGAGTGTTACAGTAAACCTACAGTAATGTAAATCTCTGAAATTAAATACAGCAATAAAGGCTCAGCCTTTTATTTTTCAGTTACAATTAAAACAGGCAGAGTACAACTTAAAACCTGAAAAAAAAACACTGACTTCTGAGTAATAAATCTACATATATTAGTAGCTATTTTGCTGCCACCTGTTGGCTGACGTGTGTCATAACACCACAAGAGTGGGGGGATTTTCTAAAAGTCCTACCTGGACTCAGCTCCACCAAATAAGGGAGTTTTTCAGGCGGCATTGAGCCGTCCTTTCCTCTGAGGCCCTTCTCGTCCTTCCTTCCTTTCCTGGCCTGGTAGTCCGGAGGTCTCTTCTTCAGCTGAAACACCAGCAGTCCTGAGGGACAAAGATTCACACCTTTTATAACAACGTGATGTGATAAAAACATGCAAAACATTTATTTTCCCTGAATACAAAACAATACGGTGTATTTTCTGGACTTTAAAGTTTCTCCACATCAGATGTAGAGGTGAGTAACAAAGCAGGTTTTCTCAAAAGGTAAGAACTGCCAATGAGTCCATGTTGCTCTTTGTAGATGAGCCACCTGCTGAAAGTCATCCCACAACATCTCAATTTAAATGCAACAAAACTTTAACTAAGCCACTACTAAACCTTTTAGGAGGTGAACATGTTGATACATTAGGGATAGAGAAGGACGCACACAATCAAGCTCTGCTAACTCCGGTGCTCCAGTGTTCTAGTTCATTTAGAGATGGCCAAACATCCCCGACTTTTTGATATGTTGCTGAATTTTTTTTAAATCAGGGCATGAGGCCGAAAAAAAAAAAAAAACTTTGGTCTAATTATTTTCGACAGGCAAGTAGTCTTGCTGTGACTTCTTAATTTTACACTTTTAACGCCATTTCTTTTTTTACAGAAAAGAATCACAAAGCTGAGTCATGATTACAAAGGCTGGGTTGAGATTTGAGCTCTTAAAGGTATAGAGGACCATCTTTTATTTCCGAGTTGATCATCTAAATAAGTGGTCCTCCTAATTGTCAATCATTCGGGTGATACGTTTACCTAAGGCTGTCCTATGTGCTCGCCCCGTTAGCTATATTTTTCTGGGCATGCGCTCTTTCAGCCGTTTATCTGTGGTGAGCTACGGTTTTAGACAGTCATTCTCTTATGACCCTTGGCAATTTTCAAAGAACCACAGTGAGAAAGGTGAGCTTCAATAAGTGTCTATGAAGCGTACGAGAAAAAAAGAAAGGCCTCAGAAGAGGCAGATATATCCCAGAATGCTTTGTGTAGAGAGCTCTCCTCACAAAGCGGCCTGCTGTCGCCATAGGCTGCAGCTACCAAACAATGGCAACTAATAAAGAAGGTGAAGGCTCCGCGCTGTGAAGGACGAGTTAAATGACCGACGGGAAGCAAAAAGCAGCGATCATCTGTCCGAATGGCCAGTTAACTGAGTTTGCTATAAAGTCCACTATATAGTCCCGCTATATATTTTGATTGATGGATTTAGGAGTTAGGGCGGACGTTTGGGCATAAAAGCTTGCATGAGTGATGCTTTAAACAGAGCGTGGATGAGGAGAAATGGGCTCGTGCACGCTCTTGCAAATGCTTGATAGGCTTTTCCTCTCTAGAGCAGGTACAGGGTAGCCTAGTAAACTAGCCCCACCCGCCAGCGGCCAAAATCATTTTTGCCTGCGAGTGGTCTAGCCTCGATCAATGCCCCAGGCCCTGGAACTGGCGGGCCAATCACAACGCAGAGATGAGTTTTGAATTTCTGGATGCAAAGCAGGCGGGGTTTTGAGGGCGTGACGACAAAGCAACAACTATTGAACAGTTGTTGTTTGACTCAGCTTTGGAATCAGTTTTTGGAAGGATTAGACTTGGGGTTTTTGTTGAAACGTGAGCAGGAAGAGGCTCTACGCTCATTCATTTTTAAGAAGGACGTAGAAGACCTTTGTATAAATTGTAGACAATAACATTTGCACTAAATGTTTATTTGAAAAAGGAACTCCTCCATTGTTTGTGGGAATGTCCTAAAGTCCAGAAGTTTTGGAAGGATGTTACTAAGGGTCTATCTGAATTGCTTAAAGTAAAAGTCCCAGTAGAGGTTAAATTCTGTGTTCTAGGAATATATACAATAGAATTTAAACAATCACAGAGGATAACTACATTGATAGACTACGGACTTCTTCAAGCCAGATCTGTTGCACTATGCTGGAGGAGCATGGAAGGCCCCTCCATGGGATTCTGGAGGAAAGAGGTTGCAAGCTCACTTGGACTGGAAAAACTATCATACATTGCCAGGGGCAAACAAAGGGACTTCGAGAATCTATGGGAGCCAAATATGAGGACTGTAGGGACTGAAAGTGGAACCTATTGATGGGAGTTTTGAATGGATGTCTTGACTACAGTTTTTTATTCATATAATGCTCTCTTTTTTTTTCTTTTTCTTTTAATGTCTCTGCCCTAATCTAAAGGGCATTAGTATATTTTTGGAACTAGACAAATGCAGGTTTAAATGGTGAATGCATGAGTGAATGTGTGTATAAGTACATGTTCCAAGGTTAAGTTTGGAATTTTTGTTGTATTAAAAAAAGAGAAAATTCAATCAAATATATTAGAGACAATAATATACAGTTAATGTGTCAAAATTTAGAGTAAGAAAAACTTTTTGAAATGTTTATACAGTTTTCTAACAGTGAATGAGCAGCAGCTTAGAGGTGAAAATGAACATTTCCATTTATAAAGTACAGCAGAGATCAAAATGTAAACAGTGTAGGAAAAACATGGACACCAAATTGTTTACAGGTGGGAAAAATTCTAGTAGGAAGGAATAAAATGGGATCGTGTGGCTAAAGTTCTTTGACATGATGAAAAACTGTAATAACACTTCTATACCAGAGGGAGGCAGTATCAGTCAATAAAAGGCCTTGTAAGTTGAGTTTTTTAGACTCCCAGCAGGAGGAGAATCCAGTTTTTACCTCTGTCTGCAGGCCAGTCTCTGAAGATCTGCTGGGGACACTCCGAATCATCCAGGATCACCTCTTTGCCCGTTTTTTCCTCTTGCTGCAGAGATAAAGAAAAATACGAAATCAACTTTTGAAAGAAAAAAATAAAAATAATCCAAAAGAAATGACATATACTTCATATGAAACCCTGATTTTTCAGGGAGTCTAAATGATATCGAACTAAAGTTAAACATTTTAAGGAATGTATGGAGCCGACTTTAGCTACAGGCTCCCTTCTCCTCTGCACTCCTCACAGTTCGCACCTACACATTACTACAGCTTCTATCCAACTAACCACCACATCCGTGCTTGTTTAGTCTGCTGCTTTGCTCTCTAAAACTGCATCTATGAGTATCTGCAGCTGGGAGGTTAAGCATGCATGTTTTTGGTCTCTGCAGGACCCCTTGCAGCAAAGTCTGTGTCACAAAACACACAAAGAGTGCCAACAGCCCTCAGCGAGGAAGGAACTGGGTTTGGGTGCACAGTAGCATTCTAGGTCAGGCATCCAAATATTTGAATCATGTGGGAAATGTTTGGTGGTAAAGTTATGCTGCTGGAGCAGCTAAAGCTAACTAAAATCGTCAGAAGGTGTAAAAGTTGTGTTTACAGCTAGAGTAGGATGAAGCGTTTTTACCCGGGCGATGCAGTAATCCCTGGCGTTCTCCTTCTCCATCCCGTACTTCTCCAGAGCTGCAACCACGGCGGAGTCCGCTGTGTCTCTGGTGGACAGCAGGATGGTCTTGTAGGGGATGTTGGGTTTCAGACTGTCGGCGTAAATCTTGATAGTCCCCCCTGCAAACAGCAGAGAATTTACTTTACTACTGTATTATCCAGATAAACATCATAGCTGCCTATGTTTAAGAAAAAGAAGGAGTCGGCTGCTGAATGCAGCAGTCCTTTTAAATGAAAAATAAAAGTAATTTCCCAAAGACCATTTTAAGAATAAATTATTAAAACTTTGTTTTACAACTCAGGAGGTTTTTGGAGCATCAAAGCATCTAAAAATGTATTTTGTCACAGAATTTCTAATGTAAGGACCAGGTAATCCTAAAGCTCTTATCTTATCCGTTTCTCGGTAACCCGATGTTGACGCTTTGCGTTTCGCGCTTCGCATGTGTGACTCCACTGCCTTAATTCCCATCGTTCCAAGCTTGAATGACTTCTTGCACAAAATCCACTGAGCCTCATGTACACTCACCGGCCACTTTATTAGGTACCCCATGCTAGTAACGGGTTGGACCCCCTTTTGCCTTCAGAACTGCCTCAATTCTTCGTGGCATAGATTCAACAAGGTGTTGGAAGCATCCCTCAGGGAGTTTGGTCCGTATTGACATGATGGCATCACACAGTTGCCGCAGATTTGTCGGCTGCACATCCATGATGCGAATCTCCCGTTCCACCACATCCCAAAGATACTCTATTGGATTGAGATCTGGTGACTGTGGAGGCCATTTGAGTACAGTGAACTCATTGTCATGTTCAAGAAACCAGTCTGAGATGATTCCAGCTTTATGACATGGCGCATTATCCTGCTGAAAGTAGCCATCAGAAGTTGGGTACATTGTGGTCATAAAGGGATGGACATGGTCAGCAACAATACTCAGGTAGGCTGTGGCGTTGCAACAATGCTCAATTGGTACCAAGGGACCCAAAGAGTGCCAAGAAAATATTCCCCACACCATGACACCACCACCACCAGCCTGAACCGTTGATACAAGGCAGGATGGATCCATGCTTTCATGTTGTAGACGCCAAATTCTGACCCTACCATCCGAATGTCGCAGCAGAAATCGAGACTCATCAGACCAGGCAACGTTTTTCCAATCTTCTATTGTCCAATTTCGATGAGCTTGTGCGAATTGTTGCCTCAGTTTCCTGTTCTTAGCTGAAAGGAGTGGCACCCGGTGTGGTCTTCTGCTGCTGTAGCCCATCTGCCTCAAAGTTCGACGTACTGTGCGTTCAGAGATGCTCTTCTGCCCACCTTGGTTGTAACGGGTGGTTATTTGAGTCACTGTTGCCCTTCTATCAGCCCAAACCAGTCTGGCCATTCTCCTCTGACCTCTGGCGTCAACAAGGCATTTCCACCCACAGAACTGCCGCTCACTGGATGTTTTTTCTTTTTTGGACCATTCTCTGTAAACCCTAGAGATGGTTGTGCGTGAAAATCCCAGTAGATCAGCAGTTTCTGAAATACTCAGACCAGCCCTTCTGGCACCAACAATCATGCCACGTTCAAAGTCACTCAAATCACCTTTCTTCCCCATACTGATGCTCGGTTTGAACTGCAGGAGATTGTCTTGACCATGTCTACATGCCTAAATGCACTGAGCTGCCGCCATGTGATTGGCTGCTTAGAAATTAAGTGTTAACGAGCAGTTGGACAGGTGTACCTAATAAAGTGGCCGGCGAGTGTATGTTCCCTGGTTTTAGCCATGGAGAAAACTCTTGGCTGGATAGACAATTTTGGTCACATTTACACTTGCTCATATTTTCCAGACAAAAAGTTAATGACGCATCTCCCAAATGTCCCGGCCGCAACAACGCTTTTATTGGTTCCGCTATCGGGACGGAACCAATAATGGCGAGCCATTTCTTTTTCTTTTTTTTTGGATTAAAAAACAATTTTAACTTTTTATTTAGATTACAAAAATAAATCGTAATAAAAATGATCCTATTTATGATGTTTTAAAAATTAAGACCTACGAAAGACTGATTTAAGACATTTTAATACCAATTAAGGCCTTAGTTTTATTTTGAAGAATTCAATGCCTTTTAAGACTTTTTAAGGACCCGCGGCAACCCTGAATATTAAACTTCCGTACCGTGTTTATTCTGCGTGGCAATGCGCGAACCGTGACCCCCGTACCGTGACTGTTCGGTACGAATACAATGCCAGCCCTAATGTTCAAGATAAGTCTTCCAATTTTCCTCGCCTATATATCTAAGAGACATATAAGGTTGAGCTAAAGATAATATGTGATAAACAAGAATATCTTCTTGAATCATGAGTTCAGCAGAGAAGCATCTGAGCCGTTAGGCTACAGCGCATTAATCTGATAGAATAATCACAAAAGCAACTAGGCAGGAGGATTTTTAGAAATGTATAAAATAACTGTTTGTGATTCCCGTCTCCCCAGCAGCTGTCCGCACTGAAGACAGCGGTCAGAGCTGTTTTTAGAGCCTCCTCACTCGTCCATCTGTCTGTCTGGCAGAGCCATTAGGTAATGCCTGAGTCACAAACCCATCCAGTCAGCATGTTTGTGTCGTTCAGTCAACATGTCTTTCAATGTGTGTAAACACGGCGGCGTGAGACTTTCTAATAAGCATACGGCACTCCTGGGGTTCGGTTACAACACGTCAAGAGATCAATGCCAACTATGAAAAACAAACAGTGCCTTACTATAAACTAGAAACTGTAGATTAGAGAGCAGGGATAAACAGAACTGAGTCGATGGGTTTTATGAGAATAAACTGCCGAAGAAAACCTCAATCATCGGTGCACGGTTTGGATTTACACTTTTAAGCATTCAAAGACAGCAGCAGCAGTGACCGGAGATGTTAGGGTCAGTCTGTTAGTTAACTCACTTGGAGTTACACAAAAATTTATTCTGGAGAATTGTGGTTTTGGATAACTTTGACAATTTAAGAACCTGCTTTCTGGAAAGACGCCTTTGTTTCTGACTTAATTTATCACCTTCCATATGACTGTCGTTCAAGTTTTTACCGTAGATTCTCATCTGAAGGACGATTCTCCTTTGCTGGCTTGTTTTAAATGTTCACATCATTTGTTGACATAAGAGGGTGCTATAAACTACAAACGATGGTAGCACCAGCAGAAATTCTCCCAGAACCATCAATAGTCTGCAGCATATTGCTTTTATTAAACTCAAATCCATCAAGTTATTTTTCAATCTGTGAGCTCAGTTTTAGTTTCCTTCTTTATTTAATGCAACAGTTAAAATCTCCACTATTAAGATCTATAAAGGCAAAGTTATAAATCTGTTGAAAAGGATAGACTTTAGAATTTGATTCATTATTAGACGCAATCTTGTAATCCCTTACATTCCTTCCAAATGGGTTTTTTAACTGCTTTCTCTATAAAAGAGCTTGTAGCACATTTTTCCTTTAAATGACTATTCAAGCAAAGCTTACAGAAATTTATTTTCATGCTTTAAAATCCTTAAAAGAAAGAAACAGTTGTACAAAATCTGAAGCCATTAAAGTAAAACGGAAATCATTGAAATACATTTTGATAATGGTCTGAAGGAATTTTAATCTGAGGCTGTGCTCAAACTAATCCAATATAGAGCACTAGACATTCAGACACTTAAAATCGCCTTAAGGAAGGAGTTAGGTGATTTTATTTGAGTATCTGAATATATAGTAGAAGAAAAAGTAGTGAATTCAAAATTCCCCATAATGCACCTTAAAAAGTAGTATCACTGGTCACTAGTCTAGCAGAAGGGTCATTCCATGAAAACTGTTAAGTTTGAATCCATAACATTCAAAGAGGAATAGGAAGCATAATAAAACTGTCAGTAATACTTTAATTGTCTAAAGCCATTGATTCAAGTTTAGTTGGTAGCATGAGGTCAAATAAAATTTAATAATAAATATATATACTTATGTTAAACTGCAATCATTTTCTCATGTCCGCTATGACCATTTTTCTCATTCGTGTAATGTAAAACTTAAGAAATATGAAATAAATCTAAAAAAATTTTTGTTATGTTTAGAAATACTTTCCTCTTAAGAGGAAATGTGTTAATTATATTAAAATGTCATATTTTTTTATTAAAATAGATTTTTCTATGTCCATCAATTTCATATTCCACCCCGTCACACCAATGTTATTTTGCGCCAAAATGCAATACATTTCCTAGAAGTGACATCACTAACATGAAGTGACATCATTCAAGAGTTTGAAGAAGAGAAGTCCAAACAATGGTGAGTTCTGGTTTTTCTTTAAGAACATTTTTGGTAAATTTTTCCTTCTAAGTCCTTTCTGTTAACCATTGCATATCCACCCCGTCACACACAAAAAGTGGGGAAAACAATTTGTTAATCAAATTTAGAAATTATATTTGTATTAATCATTCATTTTTCATTGTGCTTCAATGCTAACGGCACCATCAAGTTTTAACATATCCAGAAATTGAGCCATATTGCTTTAGATTTTTCACCCCGTCACACTAAAGCCTGTGGAATCAGTGTGATAGGTGGCAACGTTCTTTATATTGAATTAATGCTGTAAATCACATAAAAACATAAAATAAAAAAAAACACTTTGAACACACTATTTTTTTTATTTTTTAAGACACTTTCTGAAGTGAATAACATTTTGTTTGTCTTACTTTTATCTAAAATTACCCTTTAATTTGTTAACCTTTGTCCTCTGACTGGGTGGAAAAGGAAACTCTGTTCCCTGGATATAATGTGCTAAAATATTCGCAGAAAATGGTGTCTGAGCTTGAAAAATATGTTTTATTGCAAGTGTTACATTAACCTGACTCCGCCAGATGGATTTGCTCCGCATTTCCATATCTGGAAACCTTCAGTTGAAGTAATTTTGGGAAGGGGCGAAAACACTGGTTAGCTGATTGGCCTATGTTGGTGATAGACGGGCCAAATAAACCAATCAGATCAACGAAGCATATGACGTACTAACAGAGCGACGACGAAAACACAAACACAAGCCAGGCTACTCTTGCCAAAACCAGTCTGGAGAAGAGCAAAAACATCTTTTCCTCTGAGAAAAGCCTCCAGAGCAGTGTTTTGCTCTTCTTTCAGTGAAGAAATGCTCTGTAATTCCGATAAAACTTGCTCGATAGCCACGCTAACGCTAGTTTCATCGGCTGAAGCCGCCATGTTCTTCAGACTGACCTGCCGCGCTTCTCGTTGCGTCACACCTCAACCCGCCTCAAAGCCAAAGCTGATTGGACGTTCGTTTGGTGAACGGCTCCAAATTTTCTTTAACGGAGAGTCTCCAGACTGATCTGTGAGTGAAACCTTGAAAGCTCGCGAGATCAGGATGGTCTCACGAGGCTAGTGTTACATGTTCTACAGGCTATGAAACTGAAAAAAAGAAAAAAGAAAAAAAAGGTTATGATCAAAAACCTCTAAATTCAGGTCCAATCTTTACACTTTTCATGGAATGACTCAGAAACCCAGAATGCTTTGCGAGACATCTCATGGGATTTGTTTTGGGTGCGAGGGAGAACAATGATGGCGCAGGTTTAGTGCCGGGAGCCGGAGTCATGTGACCTACATGGAGTGAACAGTAGTGGTCATCTGTCCGAACGCTCAGTTACCCACTATAAAGTCCACTATATAATCACCGCTCTATATAGTGACTGAGAGGTTAGGCGGACAATCGGACACAGCCTGAGACTCCTCAAATGGTTTACAGCCGTAACTAATTTAAAACATATTGCAGGCTGTGGAGCTAAACTTACAGGTACAAATGTGGAAAACCATTTTAAATTCTTCTTTAAACTCCATCAGCAATGCTTAATAATAAGGCAGACTCCTGGCAGCACACAGTTAAAATAGTTACTATAGTGTTTAAGCTGTGGAAAGATGATTTTCTTAATGGAAGCATCATTAACTAGAGGTTAATGAGACTCTGATAAATCAGATTCAAATCATCCATAAAAGCAGGCAAGCTTTAAATGGTCAGGAAGAGATCGAATGCGGTTCCAAGAATCAATTTGGCATCTCAAATGAAACTTTTCTAAAAGCTAGTACTACAGATATAAGCAGTTATAGAGGCCGCGAACATTACGATAACAAATCTGGGTTTCCTAAACAATTTAATCTATAATAATCCTTTCTTTAAGGTAATTCATGAATATGAAAAAGTCTCTTAAGCAGATGAAGCCTCCTTTTTCCTCAGCTTCATGTGACCTGATCCAGAAGCTACGCTTATCCAGATATCCTCAGCTAACTACTCATTTCATTTTCCTTCATTCCAAGTTAAACGCTAAATTCATGAGAAACAACAACTTCAGTCATGGCTTACTGAAAATGATTCTGAGCTAAATAATCAGTGAGTCGTAACGAAACAGACAGGATACACGTAATCATCCAGATAGTGTTACAGCAAACTGCAGCATATAAAAATATTACCAGCCAGGAAAAACAAACACTGGGAATCTGGATCTTTAATGTCCATTTTCAAATGACTTAGATAAGTTTGGAGAACCAAAAAATGATTTAAATCCAAACAGTCCTTTGGAATTGGGGCCAGAAATTAATCTGGACATGCAACTCAAGAGAGACTTAGCACCTTGTTAAATTATAGAATCACTTTTAGCTCCAGGAACATAAAATCTCTGCATTTCTCCTATTTCTTTCCTAAGTAGCAATGTCCAACACCTAAATCTTAATGTCAGACGACACCTAAGCTGAGGTTCCTGGGCTTGTTTTCACTTTTACAGCCACTGATGTAAAGCATATAAAGACTATCCAACTACCAGTTTAGTTTACCGGAAGAGAGTCCAGTAACTGGTCATAATTAACAGAAGGAGATTTAAAGTACCCGACTCTGGCCTTCCATCGCTGCTCATGAACTCCTGCATCCGCTTCTCCAGTTTCTGCTGCCTCCTCCTCTTCATCACCACCTCTGGGTTGGAAATGGTTCTGGTGAAGCTGGTCTCTGGCATGTCTTTGTAAACCTCTGCTGCCAGACGATTGTTCTCCCTAAATCAGAATAAAAAAAAAAAAGGGACAAATGGAGGAAGAGAGGTCAGAGTTAAAGCGGTTATTCTCTCTTCTTCTCTAGCGAGTTCCCTGCTTTTGTTAGCTTCAGAAAAAGGGAAGGAAGGGAGGGAAGGGGTAGTGAAATAAATGAATGTAAAACGTGTTTGCGTTACCCGTCCTCGCGGCTTAGAATCTGCTCATCTCCATCGGGGATCCGAGCAAACTCTTTCTCCCTCTTCTTGTCCTTCTTCTTCTCCTTCTTGGACAGCGTCCTTTTGAAGTTCTGTATCACTCCATCTTTCTCCTTGTCTGGTCCGTTGCTCTGACTCTTCTAGAGCAGATGAAACAAAAGAGCAAATCAGTGCAAATACAGAGGACAGAGGATGGAGCTTGAATGGTTTGGGAGCTGACGCCAGTATTATGAAAACTGTTATTATTCCCATCTGCAGGTACGTTGTTTCTACCAGCTCCCTCAATGGTGATTTTGTAAGGAAAGCATGGCAACATAACCAATGAGAGAGCTGGTTACATCTGAGGAGGATTTGTAATTGGTTTAACTGGTTTTCAATTTGCTCAGCGACCAGTAGAGTCACAGAAAAGGTAAATGAAGAGGGTGAAGTAAAAAAAAAAAAATCCATATACAAAAGAGGAAATGAAATAAGCAATTAGCTTTTTAAATATGTGATTAGGAAAGGTCTGTATAATAAAGATTTATGAATCGTGATTGATGAGATTTGAAAACACCTTTACAACTTGCAGCATTTTACAATAGATCAAAGACTTAAACTTACAATTGAATTTAAAATGCAGAATTAGAAAACGCTTGAAGTAGGGCTGCAACTAACGATTATTTTAAAAATCGATGAATCGGCCGATTATTTTTTCGATTCATCGATGAATCGGATAAAAAATATTTTTTATACTAACCTCTTTATTCCAAAATAAACATTTTAGACAGAACAAACAAGCACACAAGTACAGGTTGCTCATTAACTGTACTGGTGCAATATGAAAAATAAATGTTTGTGTAAAAACTACGCAAACTTACATGAGAAATGTAGCTGTACATCCACAAAATATAGGCTACTTTGTTTCATAAAGCGCAAAAAGAGACAGGCATTTTTGTTTTTTAAAGCCCCTAAGGGGTTCAAACAATAGGCCCCCCCATTTCAACAAATTAGTTTTTTTAGACTAGAAGAGTTCTGCCTTTTAAGACAGGAAAGTATAGCAGTTAAAGTTGCTACTTGAGAAAATACTGAACCATAGAGATAAAAATAGCCCTGTGATTCAAATTATAAATTGCATTTGGAATAAAAATGAGAAAACTAGGGGTGCTAAAAAACACATCCTCCAAAGACAGATATTTACATGGGAATGTGGCATATAATTAATTGACATATTACTGATCTTGCTGGATTTTATTCTGCTTTACTTCCATAAATTGCAGGATCTTCTTTACTTTATCTTTGCCAGAAGATTTAAACTTTAAAAGCCTTGCCCTCATAATTTGCAAGTTAATTTATTTATAAAGTAAATATAAACGCTGCTTAAGCTAATTCAAATGAAATTAAAAGTAAAATAAGTAGCCAACCTTATCACTGTCTGTAACCTACTAACAAGGTAAGGAAAGCATCAGATGAGCTACCTGAGAAACTAACGTTACGTTTCCCCACTTTAAAACCAAACAAACATGGTCGCTCATCCTGCTGATCAGCTCTCTTCACTGCCATCGAAGGCTCCAACGTGTTTTCTTTTCAGGTGCTGCGTCATAACAGTGGTGCTTCCGCGCCATGTTAATTTGTTTTTACAAAAGTTGCATGTTACGACTTTTTTCGCTTTACAAAGCGCAGGCTATTTTAATTATTGTGATCAATTTGCGCCGTCAATCCCGGCGCATGCGCGCTTCATTTGCAGTCTGGACGCTGAGGGTAAACATCCTCTGACTGCAGCGCTGAGAGGGACTCCTGCAGGAGCGGAGTTGGGATGGGGGAGGTGCCCCACGGCAATGACGACGGCGGCGAATGACGCATTAATCGCGCGACACAACTAATCGATGATGAAATTCGTTGCCAACGCTTTTAAAAGTCGATTTTTATCGATTTTATCGATTCGTTGTTGCAGCCCTAGCTTGAAGTCTAATTGTATGATGCCCATATTTACAGTCATAGGGAAATGGGCGTTCCATCAGTTTCTCCCAAATTCTGTGGTGCCCGACTTTATACGAGTGAATACAGTGAATGTGATGGTTTATTAAGGGGGTGAGATTGTTGTGGCGGAAGGTTCACAAGCAAATTTGATTGTGGCCAGTTTGTCGGAAGCATCTTGCTAACCAGTTAGCAACTTGGTGCTATATAGAATATTTTTCTATATAGAGATTTTCTAAATTTTGGGACAATGTTGTCTGATAAAGAGTACATTTATATACATTTTTAAGCCAGAATGATTAGACATTTAAATCTGATTTAACTACAACTTTAACATGGTGTGCTCCTTCACCTGCGCTCACAGCGAACTGAACACATCCCTCCAGCTGGCAGACAGAGGAAGCAACCTTTACGGCCAGAGGTGGAGGATTCTCAAACATAAAAGGCGACCAAATGGTTTCTGACAGTCAAAACCAGTACAGCAGCTGCACCAGTACTAAGCCACTAGGGCTGATAAACGAATTGAATTAACCGCGAATAATGAACTATTGAAATCATCCAATATTTAGGTAATCTATTAACCGTTAACACGAGTATAGACTCTAAAACATGCCATTAGGTGAAAAATCAACCTGCTCAAAGCAGGAATATACCAAAAAAAGTTAAAGATATATAAAAATGTTGCATTCAAGATGAAAAATGTTTTATGCTGTCAATAACTTCTATCCAGTTTTAGCTTCACCTGGTTTAAATAATGTATAAAATCTCCTTTGATCTATGTATTTTAATTTAATTTTAATCGATGTATTTAGTTGCAGTCCAAGTAGCCGCCCCCTTGGCTGCAGGAGCCTCAGCAGCACCAGATATTCTGATTCTGATATTCTGCCTCTTCAGTTATCAACATAATAACAGAAGAAATTCTGAGTGGGCTAAATTAGCATGGATGCTAAAAGAGGAGATGTGTGGAGCAGAGAAGAATAAATAAGAATAATTTATAATGATTTCTTTTCAACAGTTTCAGTCAGAGAGCCGCTGACCTTGGGCAGGATGTCGTTCTCGTTCTTCAGGACAAACCGACCCTCTCTATCGTCTTTGTTCCAGTTCAACTGAACAACAAGAGGCTTCTCGTCCAGGTCCAACTGGCGCTCTTCTAAAACACAAACGGTAGTTTATCAAAGAGCCTGCTGCATCTGACTGGATTGGTTTCATAGATCTAAGGCGACAGGACTCACCACCGCTGACATGGACTTCATACAATGAGTATTTTGGCGACGACAGCATCCTCATATCGGGTCTGAACTTCTCCGCTAACGTCTCGATGACGTCCTGCGTCGTTGCTGTGCTGGAGACCCTGATGCACTTCGTGGCAAAGTTCCCGGCCACCCGGTCCTGGAAGTAGAACCGCATCACGCCATGGAACTCGAGGTCCTTTCCAGGAAAAACAGAAGGAGAACAGATTCAAATAACTGTGTATAAAAACCAAAAACTGCATTAAATAACCTAAAGGAAAACCATTGTGATTTAATGCAACAAACAATAATGCGAGTGTTGAGAAAATCAACCATGAAAAGAAACTATTTATGATGCTTATCTGTGCTGTAAGATCCTGGACAACGATTAATGTCTGTAAAACTAGAAACAAAACAAAGCATATTAACAGTCTGAAAAAGGATCCATAAAATTTTAAAGGGATCATAGAATGATTCTATAGGGTATTTGGTGCTGGTCCATTAGGTCTCTGAATACGATGTGTAACATTGGTTGGGCTGAAAATGGCATATTTGCTGTTTTATGAGCCCTTATGCAAGCCTGGTTAAAAGCCCTGGAATGAAACAACAGGTTTTCTTCCTTTTATGGTATGATTATTATTATTTAGATGAGCTGTGCTCTGATTGGTTGGTTTACAACAAGCAAAGCGGCTGAGCAAAGACGCATCATAGCAACAAGCACTCACTCACTGAAACATCAAATTATTGATACGGTAGGGTGACCAGACGTCCTCCCTTTCCCGGACATGTCCTACTTTTCATACCTAAAAAAAATGTCTGAGGGGAATTTCAAAATCAGAGAAGCTCGTCCGCGCCTTCGTCTCCTCCAGGCTGGATTACTGCAACGCTCTCCTCATCGGGATCTCTGGCAGGAGCCTTCAGAAGCTCCAGTATGTACAGAACAGTGCTGCCAGGGTCCTGATGAGGGTGAGGAAACACCAGGACATCACTCCCATCCTTCACACTTTGCACTGGCTCCCCATTCACGCCCGTACAAGATTCTTCTGCACACCCATCACTGTTTGCACGGTGCGGCCCCCATCTATCTCACCGAATTGCGACAGTGCCGTTGGATATAGGAGTTCGAAGGGTTGACGGTTCAAGCCCCGACTCCGACTTTCAGTGTCGTTGTGTCCTTGGGCAAGACACTTCACATGCATTGTCTACTGATGGTGGTCAGGGGGCCCGGTGGCGCCAGTGTACGGCAGCCCCGCTTCTGTCAGCGAGCCCCAGGGCCGCTGTGGCTACAATGTAGCTTGCCACCATCAGTGTGTGAGTGTGTGGGTGAATGAATGTAGTGTAAAGCACTTTGGTCAAGTCTCCTGTCTTGAATAAAGGCGCTATATAAGTACATGCCATTTACACCACACACCTCTTCCCGGACCCGGTCAGGCCAACGGCACCGTCTGGGCTCACCCAGGACACGGCTAAAAACAATGGGTGACAGGGCCTTTGAAGCCGCAGCTCCTTGTCAGGGCCCCACAGACGGTGGACTGTTTTAAAGCTGAAGTCTTTTTAAGTTTTTAAAAATCACTTTTTTGTCATATTGGCTAAAACTGTCCCTATGCCCAGACAGCAGTACATGTGATATGTAACCTGTGAAAAAAACTGCTTCAATTGGTACCGCATACTGCCTGTATTTCAATCTGGAAAGAATAATTCGGGACGAGTCAAAACAACCAATCACAGCCAGAGGAGCGTCTGATGTCTGATGGAGTGTCTGTCTGTGGCCTGGTCTGTATGTCAAGAAAAGCACAGGCCAGAACCAACTAAGGCAACATCCCCGAATTGACGTCAAAATTCAGTGCTTCGTTTGGATTCACCCGTTTTATGGTGGAAGTTTAGAATTGTCCGATTTGCAGAGAAAGGAGGTGTCGATGGGGTTTGAACTTCTCTGTTCGTCCGTTTCACCCACTGAACTATCGTTACTCATCTATGACAATGGAAACTCAGTTTTGCATTCCATGAACCCTTTAACTTTGTAACCTTTAACCAATTTTCTGGGCTTTTATTTAATATATCAGGAGTCAAACTGATTCAGCTGTGCTGTAGAAGCGAAACCTCTAAAACCTGCACAACAGCGGCCCTCGAGGACAGAATTTGGGCCTGCCTGGTCTAGAACCACATTTTTCTACCATCACCGCTGAAAAGTTTTTAAGCAGCTGTCGCCTAAAGCTTTAATGTTTTACCAGGTAACAGCTTCTACTTCCAGGACTGCTTTTGTGTTTAGCTATGATCAGCTGAACCATCCCACAGCACTGTGGTTAGAGCCAAAGAGTTCATTTGTGGTCTCCTCTCCCCACCATGGACTATTAGTATAAACAAAGACAGCTTTGTAGGGTGGACCCAACACATACAGCGCAGCAGATCTCTGCATCACCTCCAAGCTGCTTCTTTGGTTAATCTTCTTATTGACAAGTCATCCATATATGATTTCAGATCATGATTGATTGAACAGAGCTCAGTGTGATGCTCCATGTCTAGAATGCTATTTTCTAACCTAAACCTGCTTAACAGTAGGGGTAAAACAGACGATCCAAATAATATAGTATGAGGTTTGTGGCTGTAATGTGAGAAAATGTAAGAAAGCTGAAAGTTTGTACGCCAATTAGAAACTCTGCCAACAACAACCAGCTCAAAAAAAAAAAAAAAAAGAACACGTAAAAAAAAAGAAAAAAAAAGCTTTAAAAAAGTTTAAATCTACTAATTTTGATTAGTTTTGATTGATTGAATTGGATCTCTCAGGTAGAAAAACAGCTGGCTCTGTGAGGATATGTACATTTTCCCCATAATTGGAACCAAATGACATCAATTTCCAGGAAAACCCCACTTCCTTCCTGACCTGTAAATCGAATCAATTAACTCCGCTTGAACTTTATTATCTAGGTTCCCCCACTTCGCGCTGCTTGTTTAAGGAAATCTCTCCTTTAGGCAAACAAACAGATACGAGCTCGAACACGGCTGTCCTCCAAACTCTCAGGGCGAGTGTTGAAATTTGCTTCCTACAACTATGGAATAGGACAGTGCAAAAAATAAACATCCAACCCTTTCCTGATATATGCCTGTAATACAGTGCTGCAGCAGCAGCAGCTGTAACTCTCAGTCCTGCAGGCTCACATGCACGCTGGAGGCTGAACACTAAAAACTGACCTCATGTTTCATCATATCTGACAACAGAAGGATCTCAGACCCACTGAGGAGATTCTCAGCATTCCTTTCTCCTTAGATATGTACAACTAAAAAGAGAAGTAACAAGAATCTGTAAAAACATGAAGAACTTTTTCTTTTCAACAATTATGTTGGGAGTTTTTAGCATTTCAAATACTCCCCCAAAAGCTTTAATTTAAGTTAAAGCAGGCTAGGCTGACCAAGCATGAAAAGAGGAAGTAACCTGCTACTAAATGACCCTGAGGCTTCCTTTATTAAAATGCATTGTTGTGATGTCAGGAAGGATTTTGTGAGTTCACAAAAGAATGCAGGAAACCAAGTAGACATCTCTAAGGACGCAGATTTCCTCCGTCAGGATTTGAATATTTAGAAGGAGCCTCGTCAGCATCTTGAAAGGGGGACGATTGATAACGACCATCTAAAGTGACAGCCTGAGCAGCCTGGAGAAGGGTGGGAGCTTCATAGACAGGATTGTTTGTATCAAAGGCTGTGAAAAGTTCAGGACTAAGAAAGTATGCAGAAAATGACAAAGAAGTAGAGAGAGATGCAGGAAAAGGAGTGATGTTTACATTTTATCTCCTGCTCACTTGTTTTTACAGCCTCCTGTCTGTTAGAGTCAGGCAGAGTTGAAACACTGAGCACAGTTTCGATAGACGGCACGAGTGGAGTCAGGAATGTGTATTTGTGTGTGTGTGTGTGTGTGTGTGTTGTGATTTACTGCTGGAATGTGGGTCATCGCGGGTTGCCGTCGTCAAGCTTGCGTAACCGTTAGTAACTGTTACTGTGGAGACACAACTCTTCTTGGTTTCACACAAAGCCAAGCTTAGAGTGAGCAGTGGATAATTAACCTCCAGGACCAGAATGGCCGAGTAAACATGGAGGTCAAGGTCAATGAAGGAGCAACTCTACTAGGACTGAAACAATTAACTGTAATTAATCGATTATTGAATAAATTGTTAATTTAGTAATCAATTAATCGTTAACTGCAGTGTAGAGACTCTAAAACATGTCTTTGGCTGAAAGGGCGATCCAACTTGAGCAGCAATGACACCAAAATTGTAAAAATAAAAATGAAAACATTTTGCATTTAGGATAAAAATATTTTTTGTCTGTTAATCTGCTCTATCCAGAACTTAAGGGGGAAAGTTTTAGTTTCACCTGGGTTAATTTCCAAAAAGTCTTCCTTAAGGGACCTTTTGCTATCAGATTATTAATCGAAAAAATAATCATTAGATTAATTGATTTGCAAAATAATCGTCAGTTGCAGCCCTAATCTCTATGCCATGCATCATTAAAACTCTTCAGGTTAGCCACTCAAGCCAATTTAAATTCTCTCAACCAGATCAACTCCAAAAAGGTTAAACTAATCCCATTCTATTATTATTAAGGCAATTTGCAGGACTAATTTGTCTCTTTTAAATCCCTGCAAACAAATGGTATCAACTAAGTGATGCATTTTATCAGAAAATCTTTTAATACACGCTTTTACAAATTAATTGTGATTAATAATCTGAAATATGTATCTACTAATTTCGATAATCGAATTCTTACCTAGAATAATGGTACAAAAGACTATTTGATAATAACTACTATTTTTCCATTAAAGGTTTATTTGTTTCATTCATATATATTACATGCATTTCTCTGAATATTTCTTTAATGTTTTGCCCTTTGCAAATTATTTTATGAATTATCTTACATAGCAAATGTAATTTATTATTGGAATATTAGTTTTAAAAAAAGTAAATCAAAAATAGAATCAATAGATTAATTGCTCAATAAAATAATCAATAGATGTAGCCCTAATCAGGTGCAACGTTGATCCATTTTCTTCCGCTCTTTATAAATTGTGGTTGCATCACTTTGTAGCCTTTTCCGTTTTCAGCAGCATGTAGTGGGTTTCGTCCCATTTGCCGTGAGGCTCTGTCCATCTTGCTAAAGATCACATTAGCATCTAAAACACAAGTTCATAACTGGGGCTGAAACGATTAA